CCAAAATCCATTGACTTATTTAATGGTCAGATGTCTTTATATAAAGATAAATAACTACCTGGTGCTAATTTTGTTGTCTGGCGATAACTCCGAAAGCGATAACACCTTGTCTTCAAAATCCATTCTTTGCACATAGTTGTAGAACTGTGGTCCACTGTGATATTAGTTCTGCTCTAATAATCGACCTAATCCTAAAATTGTAGATTTGTTATGATGTAACTGCCTAATTTATAAGATCTTACGTGGAAGTCACATCACCATCTACACCAACTCACTGCATTGTAACAATTACAAATACATGATAGAGAACAATCTTAGGCTAGAGATGGAACAATATATTTAATATGAATAACAGATATAGGGGAACATTTAACAGGGACCACGCCTGCATGGCCGAGCCATGCCATCTCATCAACTCCCATTCCCTCAATCCTTATTCCCGCCTTCTCCATTGTTGGGTATTTCCCAGCGCTAAATGTTGAATGTCTATTTCCCATATTGTCTCGTGTTAGGCCCAATGCCACTACACTACTCTCCCACCAGAATCAACGTGGCGTTGGTTCGATACACATTTCAGTGGGATTGTCGCGTGCCGGAGGTTACCAAGAATAATAAAAATCCCCCGGGTATGGATCAGCTGAAAGATAAATCAAAAAGAAGGCAGCAGTATCTGGTCGGGAAATACATGCAATAATTTTAACATATCTGCTTTCATGTTTAACACGCTTAAAGTGAATATTTAGGTAAATATTATTTGAGCTAAACAAAGTGGGACTACAACAATAATAAAATGACTCCGCTCAGTGATATTTTAATAAGTCGCCGTAATAATAATAAAACGTAAGATGCGTGTCAATAACTGTTGCTTAATAACTTAACTTATAGGTAGTATTTTGTGTTTATAAATATTAAAAGCAATCAATATTGTAAAAATGTTAATATTGGTATTAGTTTTTGCTTAGATTATGAAATCAAATAACGTTTGTGCCATTAAGCTGTCCATATGAGTCGATTTCCAATTGCATCCGTATTATTAGGCTAACTGAATGAACAAAAGTGTTACCGTGGAGAAGGATTCCAACCAGTGTTCTAGTTAGTTTAATACGGTTTATTTAGTTGTGTGGAGATTTTCTCGACTTCATTTTTACTTCACCATGATAGAATTTAGTATTACTATCAATACATATGAATGGTTATCAAAAAAAGTTTTTTAATACGTGAAAAGTAATAATTATGTGAATTTTGGACAGATATATAAGAGTAATTCGTTAAACATGAGTGTATTCGTAAGAGACATGCTCTAGACTCAATGTTCTGACTTACCATAGATTATTTATTTATATTAATACCTAGCGGCTGATGGTGCATACAAGTTCGTTGCAAGTATGCAGTTTAGCATGAGGCGGAATACAATTTGAGATACAGTGATTATAAGTTGTTGATGATGTAGTGCCGCGAGATGACTTTGGTTAAATAAGTCTTTACAGGATGATCAACAGTGAGTGATGCTCAGGGAGAACATAAGTTGTAACCAAGGGGAGTACACTCCCAACTCATATCTATGATAATGGCTTGAACTTAAGTCAGTGTTGGGGTAAATTCGACATTGATGTTTTCAGTTTGCGGGAGATTTGCTCGACTGCTTATACTGGTTATTTGCATGCATGATTGTGTCGCCAAACCTCCAATTAGACTAACAAGATTTTAAGATATTTGCTGAATAAGCAACTGATAGAGGAATATACTGTAATCATCTGTAATGGATGAAGATAACCAGAAAACACTATTTAATGATAATTATAAGTCAATTTGCTGACCGATTTTGTTAACAGTTTCACCGATTTTATCAATCATATTACGTGATTGTCAAGTCATGACAATGCTTTATGATGGTAACCTGAAACCATTATGCTTAGCTAGCTATTGTGTTGATTGAGGATTAGCCAGTGAAAAACATGTACTGTTGCTTTGGGTGATTCAAAATTTTCAGAAATTGGTAGCGTTAACGAATCCAAGCTGCCTGTTTATATTACTAATGGCAATTTAAAAATGTGTGCATAATGTTAATTTTAATAATAGGCTCCGGAGATTTAATTTTAAATATGTGTTTGTCGAACAACATGAGAATTTAGTTATTAAAATAGTGCAGTATGATAATACCTAGATTTAGTGTTCGTCTTTTTAGGCTACTAATACAGTAGACCAATTGACAAACCCGAATACATATAGCAACAATGACTATGATGGGTTTAGTGGAAAATGTTCAAGGCGATCCGGATGATATTTAAATTTAAAAGACACCGAGGAATCATTCAACGCATGTACGGGCCAGGTTAACATAAAGGTTGTTGAGATATATGGCAAATTAAAAATAATAAACAGGGCCAAAATGAAAAATATTTTTCTAAATCGAGACGACTAATGGAATTTCAGTTAGGAATATGATGAGCTATGAACTTTACATAAGACGTCGCTGTAGTTAACCTAGTGATATTTATAAATGTGTGCAAAGGGAACTAAAAATAAGAAATATATTTAAACAGCACATTTTCTTAGTAGAATGTTGTAGTATAACAGTATTAAATATTTCTATTAAGTCCTGAGTGTGGCTCGTATGAAATATATACAACCAGTCTAACAGAAAAAATCTATGTAAGTTAAGAAATACTTTAACCATAGTAAATGAAACAGGAAAGGGAAAAGAATAAAACTCGCCTGGGTTTTTTCGCTTCCAAGTAATGATGATTTGAATTGGACAGTATTTTGAATCTGGATTATACACGAGGTACTGTCGATTAAGTTCTTGGATTAACCCAGCATTGAAAACTGGATTTGTGTAAGTCCAAAATTAATTTAAGCCAAATATGTAGCATTGCCTGACGAACAGTCTAAACGAGACCTAAGATTGCAGGAAATCTATAGTTCAAACTCAGCGTAAATTTCTGGCATTTGCATCCTGTTTGGCCATGGAACTCAGCAATTGGAAATTAGGCAGGCAGTGGTCAGAAGAAAAAAATATGACAGGATAGTGAATAGTTCAGGACAGAATGAGGACTTACGTGAAGAAACAATAAGAAGAATTAGATCCAGATAATATAAACAGGCAGCTTGGATTCGTTAACGCTACCAATTTCTGAAAATTTTGAATCACCCAAAGCAACAGTACATGTTTTTCACTGGCTAATCCTCAATCAACACAATAGCTAGCTAAGCATAATGGTTTCAGGTTACCATCATAAAGCATTGTCATGACTTGACAATCACGTAATATGATTGATAAAATCGGTGAAACTGTTAACAAAATCGGTCAGCAAATTGACTTATAATTATCATTAAATAGTGTTTTCTGGTTATCTTCATCCATTACAGATGATTACAGTATATTCCTCTATCAGTTGCTTATTCAGCAAATATCTTAAAATCTTGTTAGTCTAATTGGAGGTTTGGCGACACAATCATGCATGCAAATAACCAGTATAAGCAGTCGAGCAAATCTCCCGCAAACTGAAAACATCAATGTCGAATTTACCCCAACACTGACTTAAGTTCAAGCCATTATCATAGATATGAGTTGGGAGTGTACTCCCCTTGGTTACAACTTATGTTCTCCCTGAGCATCACTCACTGTTGATCATCCTGTAAAGACTTATTTAACCAAAGTCATCTCGCGGCACTACATCATCAACAACTTATAATCACTGTATCTCAAATTGTATTCCGCCTCATGCTAAACTGCATACTTGCAACGAACTTGTATGCACCATCAGCCGCTAGGTATTAATATAAATAAATAATCTATGGTAAGTCAGAACATTGAGTCTAGAGCATGTCTCTTACGAATACACTCATGTTTAACGAATTACTCTTATATATCTGTCCAAAATTCACATAATTATTACTTTTCACGTATTAAAAAACTTTTTTTGATAACCATTCATATGTATTGATAGTAATACTAAATTCTATCATGGTGAAGTAAAAATGAAGTCGAGAAAATCTCCACACAACTAAATAAACCGTATTAAACTAACTAGAACACTGGTTGGAATCCTTCTCCACGGTAACACTTTTGTTCATTCAGTTAGCCTAATAATACGGATGCAATTGGAAATCGACTCATATGGACAGCTTAATGGCACAAACGTTATTTGATTTCATAATCTAAGCAAAAACTAATACCAATATTAACATTTTTACAATATTGATTGCTTTTAATATTTATAAACACAAAATACTACCTATAAGTTAAGTTATTAAGCAACAGTTATTGACACGCATCTTACGTTTTATTATTATTACGGCGACTTATTAAAATATCACTGAGCGGAGTCATTTTATTATTGTTGTAGTCCCACTTTGTTTAGCTCAAATAATATTTACCTAAATATTCACTTTAAGCGTGTTAAACATGAAAGCAGATATGTTAAAATTATTGCATGTATTTCCCGACCAGATACTGCTGCCTTCTTTTTGATTTATCTTTCAGCTGATCCATACCCGGGGGATTTTTATTATTCTTGGTAACCTCCGGCACGCGACAATCCCACTGAAATGTGTATCGAACCAACGCCACGTTGATTCTGGTGGGAGAGTAGTGTAGTGGCATTGGGCCTAACACGAGACAATATGGGAAATAGACATTCAACATTTAGCGCTGGGAAATACCCAACAATGGAGAAGGCGGGAATAAGGATTGAGGGAATGGGAGTTGATGAGATGGCATGGCTCGGCCATGCAGGCGTGGTCCCTGTTAAATGTTCCCCTATATCTGTTATTCATATTAAATATATTGTTTCATCTCTAGCCTAAGATTGTTCTCTATCATGTATTTGTAATTGTTACAATGCAGTGAGTTGGTGTAGATGGTGATGTGACTTCCACGTAAGATCTTATAAATTAGGCAGTTACATCATAACAAATCTACAATTTTAGGATTAGGTCGATTATTAGAGCAGAACTAATATCACAGTGGACCACAGTTCTACAACTATGTGCAAAGAATGGATTTTGAAGACAAGGTGTTATCGCTTTCGGAGTTATCGCCAGACAACAAAATTAGCACCAGGTAGTTATTTATCTTTATATAAAGACATCTGACCATTAAATAAGTCAATGGATTTTGGAATTAGAAGCAAACCACTCATGTGTATTCTAGAGAACACGAAAAACCAACCTGACTGTTGGAAACAAATGGAAATTGGGCATTCCTTTAGGCTGTTTGATAAGAAAATAGTCCAAAGCTGATTCTCATAACGTAGGTTTCAAAGTTCAGTCCTCCTCCATTTATGAACAATAAAGATATCTGTATATGGAACTACAGCTAATAATCTTCCAGAATTGGCTGGGACTCAGAAACCCGAGAATACTTGCCAATAGTATCTTCTAAAGATATTAAGACGATTGAATCAATAAGTGCGGCACTAATTCAATAGACCACCGAGATGTTTATGATAATGTATATGTTATATAATCGTTTGGAAGTTTAGTTTTTTACACGCTGAAATCTCCAGTTAGCAGATCGTCATAAAGAGAATGAATTAGTGGTAATAGCTTACACATAATACTGCTCGTATAATGAAAAAGCAACCGAGATACACCCTCTACCTCGCCAAACACAAGAACCTGGAGTGAATAATTCATTGTCTCCCTACCGCTTGACAATAATTTCGCGCTCAATATCGCCATGAAGAGGGAACATTCAATGATATAATTTAGATAGTTATGCCGTAATAATTAAGGTCGATTGTTTAAGAGTCGACCACGAACATCTAAGTAAATGCCAGAGCATTATTGCTCAACTATGCATTCACTTCTTTGTTTTGTTCAGGGATTATATTCCAAATTATTTTATGCTGGATATTGAGCAGCTTTGTATGTTTGAAAATATGGCCTTGCGCCCCACGTATCCACCAGGATTCTTAAATAAAGACCCGTTTGTAGTGGTAGTGGGTCGCGCACGATACATCATTCACAAGAAGAACCGTCAAAGTATCCAGGCAACACAGAAGTCATTGGGAGTGCTAAGAGCATCATAAAGACTGCCATCAAATGTGTCTTAGAAATAGGAACAGGTCACCACAACGACCGAGATCCACTTCAAAGTGCAGGTCACAAACGTCGAAACAATGTAGACGGTTCTGCCTGTCAGCCTTATGATCTTCTTCACTTGCTTGTTTGCTTTCGTGTATTCAGCTTGTGCCTTGACTTTCGCTGCTCTTGTCTGGCTGTTGGTAATCTCTGTCTCTTTGTTCATCCCTTCTTCAATCTTGTCTATAATTTCCATTCATTATGATGATGCTTCTTGCGACCCACAACCTCCTGACACGTTAAAGTCAGTGCTTATTTGACCCATTTCCAGTTGTTGCCCATGACAGTTTCTTCTTCATATAAGGCTTGGACACTGTGTTTTTAGTTATCTCGAATTCGTTGATTTTGTCAGAATCTCGAAGGAAGGCTTTAACTAACCTTTGTAATGCTGTTTTCACACTCACAGAAGGCTGAATACTTACCGACAAAATTCAGCGAAAAAAATTGAGAGAAACTCTAGGCCAGGGGTCTTAGTTGCGTTTATAGTGAAATTCCGCCAACATTTTTAGTGAGGTATATCGAATTGACAAGAACTATCTACAAATTCGGGAGTTCTTGACAATTTCAACACGTTTGATTTTTGTTAAATCTTAGATTATTACATAAACACCAAAACTCTAGTACTCTCAACTTCTAGTGTCTACTCTGAAATTGTTTGTTAACGCTACGCGGATCATTTAACAGAAGGCCGGTAAGTTTCGCTTTAGTGTTAAAATCTAGCTACATTATCCTTGTACTTGGAAGAATCAAAGATTTTGTTAATGCTTATGGTAAATGTTTGGCATTTTATTCAGTTTGTTCAACATTTGTAGATGTATAATTGGTAACTACATGGTATACCACTCAAGCTCCCAAGTTTGGGGAAACTCGAAATCAAATGACACTCACCAAGGTTAAAGGGGGATTTTGGGGAGACGTTGGGGAATTTTCCTAGGTCTGGGTAAACTTTGGGGTTTTTATGCCATTTCCCCAAAGTTTATTATTGCGGCTTCCCCCAAATTTTCCTAAAGTGGGTCACATTTTCTCCGAAATTGGGGGCTCGGGCCACGTAGTATATATACCCCACCTCTTGACTGTGTGAGAGTATATATGACATGCATTTATGTTGTATGACAGTTGTAAAGCATATTTGACTGTCGAGATCATGTGCTGATTACAAGTACTTGATCCTATGTACTCTATTTATTGTTCCCGACCGTAGCTGCTCCCTTGACGTGGTGGTCGGACTTGCCTATCGTGATGACCCAACCGAGCTATATTGGCTGGAACACATGTTCCTGCAGGTTCTACCATGCCAGGCAGGTCGATTGGAGAACGGTAAGACTAAAAGCAGCAACTCAAGGTCTGAGGGCGAAGTCGTACTGCTGACTGTACAGAGGTGTGACAGCAGTAAGGTGTTTCCCTCGGACAACCAGCATCTGCAGCGATGCTGCCTTCTCACAAGGAAGGAAGGGGTTAGAAAAGGTTGACCCTAAAAATGTCACACCTCACCTTACCCCACGAATTTCCGTCTCCGGCGGTAAGGCTTTTTGAAGAACGGAGCTAACACATTAAAAACCTCCCACAAAAAGTCCGTGCGCGATCGGCCTCAAGCAGTTGTCCCTTGGGCTCTGCGGTCACGCACCCAGGTCGCTAAGACCAACACTAATCCGATTTCTTTTTCAGTTCCCTCAAGAAATACCCTTCAACAGTGTGGGCAACCGGGAAGTGATATCAGCCCTCATACCCGTAACAGCACACGAGATCAAGTTAGTCACATTCAAACCCTTCCTACACCACCTAATAACTCTTATCTCCACAACTAACCCTTCTTACGACCCTTTATCACCTCGCCCCGCTAGTGCGAACGATTCGAGTACGCGGAATGTTATTCCTGGTCTCCTGAAACCACGCTCCAGACTACACGTAGGAGCTTTCAACGTCCGAACACTGTGCCAAATAGGACAACAGGCTTCCTTAGCTAAGACTTTAGAATCTCGCTCCATCGATGTGTGCTGCGTCTCCGAAACGCGCACACAGGATCCTAGTAGTGTCATTCATTTGACCGCACCATGTCAAAGTAACGAACCAACTCGATTTACGCTTCGTGTATCTGGAAGCCCTGATGCTGCTTCCTGTGGCCTCGCTGGCATAGGTATAGCATTGAGTCCTAGGGCAGAACTAGCTCTCTTAGACTGGATCCCAGTAGACAGTCGTTTGTGTGCTGTCCGACTAAACGGAACAGTAAGGACTCGAAAAGAGAGGGACACTCGTCGTTGCCTTTTCATCGTCTCTGCCTACTCTCCCACTGACTGCAGCTCAGATGATGCAAAAGATGGGTTTTACAGAAAGCTTTCCGACCTTCTCTAAAACTTTAGGCGCTCTGATGTAGTAATAGCGGCCGGTGACTTTAATGCTCAAGTAGGTAAACTAAGCGAAACAGAAAGACACCTGGGGGGATCTTATGGTGTCGCGGCTCAAAGAACAGATAACGGCGACCGTCTGTTGCAGCTATGCTCAGATAACCATCTGTTTGTAGCAAATACTAACTTTAAGCATAAGGAAAAACATCTTTTAACATGGTGACTCCCTGATTCGTCCCAACGTTGGACCCAAATAGATCACATCGCTGTCAGCCACCGATGTGGGGGGGGGGCTAGATAAAAAACTGTCGCTCATTCTGGAGCACATGCTTAGACTCAGATCATGCTCTAGTGCGAGCGCGTATTTATCTAAGTCTTACTGGACGTAGGAAAGATGGTGCAAAGAAACCCCTTAGGGTCCTACTTAATGATAGTCAAGCTAAGAGTATATTTCAGGAACAACTAGAAAAACAGTTAGGCAGCTATGTAACTGATGCCCATCCCGATGCAGCGTGGAATGACATCCGAAAAGCTGTAGAAACAGCAGTGATGTCTGCAAGTGCGGTAAATCATAAGGTTAGGGAGAAACACTGGATCTCAGCAGCGTCTACCGCACTGATAGATGCTCGAAAACTCATTCCATCTGGCTCTAAACATAACGAAGAGCGGAGTCAGCTTAAGCGTAAGCTGACTAGAAGCCTACGCAAAGATCGTGAACAGTGGTGGGTAGCGAAAGCAAAAGAGATGGAAAAGGCAGCGGCAATAGGTAAAAGCAGACAACTGTTCAGACTTGTTAAAGAAACCGGTATTAGGAACCCAACTGTTAGCGCAACAATCTCAGAGAAAGATGGACATATTATTCATTCTCAATCCAGGAGATTGGATCGATGGGCAGAACACTTTAGGGATCAGTCCAACTGGCCTTCAGCCACACTTCGGTTTCCCACGATCTCCAGTCTACCTGAATGGCGGGTTAATGTAAGTCCTCCGACTCTTTACGAAGTTGAAAAAGCTATAGGAAATCTGAAGCATGGGAGAGCAGCAGGCCCTGACAGGTTTACCCCTGATAATTTTAAGGATGGCGGTCCAGTATTAGCAGCGAGATTGACTGAGGTCTTAGGTAGAATCTGGGAACTGGACCTAATCCCATCTGACTGGTCTCAATCACTGATCGTGCCAGGCTATAAGAAAGGACAAAAGTCTTGTGACAATCACAGAGGAATTAGTTTGACTAATATAGTGTCTAAAATATTAGCTTCAATAATACTTCGACGTCTAACCAAAGCTCGTGAAATGCAGACTAGAGAAAACCAGGCTGGTTTTCGATCTGGACGTGGTTGTATAGATCAGATATTCACACTACGTCAGGTTCTAGAACATAGACACACATTCAGACGCCCCACAATGATAGTATTTCTCGACCTTAAGGCGGAATTGGACTCTGTTGATCGTGAGGCTCTATGGCAGTGTTTGTCACTGAAAAGAGTACCAAAGAAGTACATTAACCTTATGAAGGCTCTCTACCCGAACACAACTGGTCGAGTGAGAGCTTATGGTGAACTGTCATCAGAATTGATTACCTCAAGTGGTGTTCGTCAGGGCTGTCCACTCTCTCCATTCTTGTTTAACTTTGTTGTTGACGTGCTTTTATAAATAACACTTTCCACATCTGACTTTCCAGGGGTTTAATTTCTACCGGGAGATCCACTTGTTGACTTAGAATATGCCTATGACATAGTTCTATTTGGTGAAGACGCTGACAAAATGCAGAGTCTGCTGACCATTCTAAGCAACAATGCAGGCATGTTCGGCATGAGATTCTCTCCCTCGAAATGCAAAATGTTGCTTCAGGATTGGGTTGCGTCGACACCCGAACTAGTGATAGGGAGTGAAGTAGTTGAGCGTGTCGACCGCTTCACTTATCTTGGAAGTCTCATCAGTCCTTGTGGTTTGGTGTGTGACGAAATCTCAGCACGGATACAGAAGGCTCAACTAACTTTTGCCAACTTGCGTCATTTGTGGCGTAGGCGAGATATCCGTCTATCAACCAATGGACGTGTTTACTGCGCAGCAGTTCGTTCCGTCCTACTTTATGGCAGTGAAACATGGCCGTTAAGAGTATAGGATATTCGTAGGTTACTAGTATTTGACCATAGGTGTCTTCGAAACATTGCTCGTATATCCTGGGACCACCGAGTAAGTAATGCAGTTGTTATGAAACGGGTACTAGGTAAGGATGGCAAATCAATTGATGAAGTAGTGAAACTCAATCAGTTGAGATGGCTGGGACATGTATTGCGCATGCCGGACCACCAACTGCCCCGACGTGCTATGCTTTATGGTGTAGGAGTAGGTTGGAAGAAAGCTAGGGGCGGCCAGACCAAAACATGGCACAAATCCATGAAGTCACTGACAAGTGGACTGAGCCATGTTAGTAGGTGTAGACTACCTGGTTGGGGACCGCGAGATGATATTAACCAATGGTTAGAGATCTTGAATGACATGGCTAAAAATCGTTTGCAATAGCGCAGGTGCATCCACTCTTTGTGTTCTCTCAAACTCTAATCTTCTGAATTCTTCATGTCCTTTATTTTCTTTCCAAATCTATTCCACTGGACTATACTCCATTAATAACATCATCAAACCTTCATGTCCCCTATCTCTACTTATACTTTCAGTACCTCTACCACTATGGGATTTGAATCGATAACTGAATCTCTGTGCTAATGTGGTGTGGCAACTCGAACTGATGTACGTACGTACGAATTTCCACGTTGTTACTGACTGACTGACTGACTATTTATTGTTCATGTATGGTAGGACCACTGATTCGGTAGCAATAGTTTTAGGGAAAGTGGTAGTTTGCATTCGTCGATAAGTTGATTTATGTTGAAATTTCATCGACTAAAGTGCTTTGATATATTACTCTGCGTTTATCCATGTTCTGTTATTGCTAGCATATGATACTGTTAAAAGGTTAGGGACAAATGGATAGTGGTTTAATACAGTTTATAAGACCACTGACTTTGTCCATTAATTCATATAACTAAGTTCTCTTATTTAGTGATAAGTGAATAAGGATCATAGATAACATTTATTTATTTGAACACCTAAGTATTGGTACAAGGGGGCACCAATCACATGCACCCTACAATTGAAATGAGGCCAGTAGTAGTTATTGATACTGCCCGAGTGTCGAAACCGAAGCAGGTGGTTTTCTTTGGTGGTCATACCCCGTCAGGCAGTCAGTCAGCAACAACGTGGAACTTCGTACGTACGTACATCAGTTCGAGTTGCCATGCCACATTAGCACAGAGATTCAGTTATGGATTCAAATCCCGTAGTGGTAGATGTAGTGATAGGGAAAATTAGGGTTTGATGATATTATTTAAGGAGTATAGTCCAATAGAATAGATTTGGAAAGAAAATAAAGGATGTGAAGAATTCAGAAGATTAGAGTTTGAGAGAACACAGAGTGAATGCACCTGCGCCATTGCAAACGATTTTGAGCCACGTCATTCAAAGTCTCTAACCATCGGTTGCTATCATCTCGCGGTCCTCAACCAAGTAGTCTACATCTACCAGTCAGTCAGCTGCAACGTAGGACCAGGCACGTATATGCATCGGTTCAAGTTGCCATACCGCATTAGCACAACAAGATGAACACCAGATTCATAGAAGTAGTTAATTCAGTGGTGGTAATATATAGAAGAAATATTGCATATAAGGAGATAGTACAGGAAGAAAGAATTAGTTGGTAGAAAGAAAGATATGAAGCGATTTTAATCTCTTAGTTTAAGGAAGACAGAGAGTGTATACACCGACGCCATTGTGATCGATTCTGAGCCATGTTACCACGAGTCTCCAACCACTCGTTACGATAGTCACGCGGATCCCAACCAGGCAATCTGAATCTACCAACATGGCTCAGACCAGAAGTTAGTGACTTTGTGGACTGATACCACGTTTTGGTTCGGCCGCCCCTAACTTTCTTCCAATCATCCCTAACACCGGTTAGCATTGCGCGTCGTGGTAATCGGTGTTCAGGCATACGTAACACATGGCCCAACCATCTCAGTCGATGAAGGTTCATAACCTCATCAACTGATTTACCATCATTCCCTAATACCCTGCGTCTAACTTCACTATTACTTACCCGGTAATCCCAGCAGATGCGAGCAATATTTCTAAGGCACCTGTGGTCAAATACTAGTAACTTACGAGCATCTTCTACTCTTAAAGGCCATGTTTCGCAGCCGTATAGTAGAACGGAACGAACTGCCGCGCAGTATACTCGTGCCTTAATTGATAGACGGATATCTCGCCTTCGCCATAGATGACGTAAGTTGGCAAAGGCCAAGCGAGCTTTTCGAATCCGTGCTGAGATTTCGTCAGACACCAACCCATTAGGGCTGATCAGACTTCCAAGATAAGTGGAGTTGTCAACGCGTTCGGCTACTTCACTCCCTATCCTTAGTTCAGGTGTTGATGCAGACCAGTCCTGAAGCAACAACTTGAATTTAGAGGGAGAGAAGTGCATCCCAAACATCCTGGCATTGTTGCTCAGTGCTACCAAAAGACTCTGCATTTCATCAGCGTCTTCACCAAACATGACTATGTCATCTGCGTATTCTAAGTCAATAGGTGGACCTCCTGGTAGGAGATCAATACCTGAGAATCCAGTCGATGATAGCGTTATTTCCATCAGTAGATCTATGATGAAGTTGAACAAAAATGGAGAAAGTGGACAGCCTTGGCGGACGCCACTTGAGGTTGCAAAAGCAGATGACAGTTCGCCATAAGCTCTGACCCGACTAGTAGTGTTCGAGTAAAGAGCCTTCACAAGGTTTATGTACTTCTGAGGTACGCCTTTCAATGACAGACACTGCCACAGAATCTCTCGGTCAACAGAGTCAAACGCTGCTTTTAAATCAAGGAAGACCATTATAGTCGGACGCCGATAAGTATGCCTGTGTTCTAGAACCTGACGAATGGTGAATATGTAATCGATGCAGCCACGACCAGGTCTGAAGCCAGCCTGATTTTCACGTGTTTGCAGTTCACAAGTCTTAGTTAGGCGTCCGAAAATTATCGAGGCTAGTATTTTAGATACTATATTAGTCAAACTAATCCCTCTGTGGTTGTCACAGGATGATTTTGACCCTTTCTTAAATATTGGGATGATAAGTGATTGTGACCAGTTAGATGGGATAACGTCTAACTCCCAGATTTTAGCTAAAATATTAGTCAACCTAATCGCTAAAACTAGACCACCATCCTTAAAGACCTCTGGGGCCAATCCATCTGGACCAGCTGCCCTTCCTCGTTTCAGATTAGCTATAGCCTTTTGAACTTCAGCTAGAGTTGGGGGACCTACTTCAATGTTCCATTCACACTGTCTGGGAATAGAGGGTAGTTGTAGAGTAGCTGAAGGCCAGCTAAACTGCTCCTTAAAGTGTTCCGCCCATCGTTCTAAGCGTCTGGACTGGGAGCAGATGAGAGTGTCGTCTTTTTCCGAAATGGTCTGACTTACACTTGATTTATTAATTCCAGTTTCTTTTATTAGTCTGTAGAGTTGTCTGGTGTTACCTTTAACCGCTGCCTTTTCCATCTCTTTTGCTTTCGTTGCCCACCACTGCTCACGATCGTTCCTTAGACTTTTGCTTAACCTAGATCTGATTTCTTTGCGCTCTTCATCGTGTTCAGAACCTGATGGGATGAGTTTACGAGAATCTATCAGTGCAATAGACCTTGGCGAAATCCATTGGTTTTTTGTAACCATTTGGTTTAAATCACTGGTAGATGTCACTGCTGTTTCCACAGCTGCTTGTATAACTTTCCAAGCAACATCTGGGTCAGTCTCGTTTTCAGAACTACCTAAGTGTGACCTCAGTTGTTCCTGGAACCTACTTTTGGCTTTCTCATTACTCAATTCGGTTCTAATGAGTCTTTTTTGTGTGGCTCTTTTGCGTCCAGTGAGGCGCAAGCAGATGCGTGCTCGTACTAGGGCATGATCAGAGTCCAAGCAGGTACCCCAGAATGAGTGACAATCTTCTATTGACCCTCTCCAACGATGACTGATGGCAATATGGTCTATTTGAGTCCATCGTTGGTTTGGTGCAGGGGGTCGCCATGTTAGACGATGTCTCTCCTTATGCTTAAAATTTGTTTGCTAAAAATAAACGATTGTCTGAGCAAAGTTGCAGCAGACGATCACCATTATCTGTTCGCTGTGCTGGAATACTAAAATACCCACCTAAATGTCTTTCTGTTTTGTTTAAGCTACCTACCTGGGCATTAAAGTCACCTCCTACGAGTACTATGTCTGAACGTTTAGCTTTCTGAAGAAGTTCAGACAGCTTTCTGTAAAATTCATCTTTCACTTCATCCGAACTGCAGTCAGTGGGAGCGTAGGCAGAAACGACGAAAAGGCAACGACGTGTGTCCCTATCCTTCCGAGTTCTTACCGAGCCGTTTAGCCGAACAGCGCATAGACGACTGTTAACGGGAATCCACTCTAATATCGCCTGTTCCGCCCTCATGCTTAGTGCTATATCTACACCTGCCAGTCCACGAGAACTAGCCATCGGGTCGCCAGATACACGGAGGGTGTATCTCGTTGGGTCTCCGTTTTGCCGAGGTGAGGTCAATTGAATGAACAACATGGCTCAGTCCACTTGTCAGTGACTTCATGGATTTGTGCCATGTTTTGGTCTGGCCGCCTCTAGCTTTCTTCCAACCTACTACTACACCAGAAAACATAGCACGTCGGGGAAGTCGGTGGTCTGGCATGCGCAACACATGTCCCAGCCAGCGACGTTAGGAGTGCAGTCCCATGGTGGTCGGTGACCAACAATAGGTTCATACGCCATTTGTTTTCTTAGGATACTGGAGCCCATGTGCACCATTTGCTCGGAACCAGGGTTTTCCGACTCCCCATATACTTTACTGAAACTTTGCATATTGTCATTGTGCACTTCGTCAATCGATTTGGACCAAGTTATATTCGAACAATAAACGCTTTATGTCGCTACCTAACCAACGTAAACCCCTGGACACAATGCAGTATGATAGTAGCTGTCTATCACATCCTTTGTTCTCCTAAACGTGGTGCATTTGGATGTTCTGCTTCAAATTCATCCTTTGACGTGTTTTACTTATCTATCATAAACTAACGTGACTGAGTGATACTACTGTGTCCACAAACAGATTATTGATTATTCCACCAATTAATTATATGACTAAATAAATAATAACAGTAGTTTGATAATTTGACTGTGCTTCTTTTTCATTGTTATAGAACAAGCTTCAATATTCTCGTTTTATACTGATGTGTAAATCAGCCAAACTGATTCGCTAAAACTACTTATTTGGTTTAAACCTACAACAAAAATGTTGTACTTTGAAGATTTCATGGAAGGTAAATCTAAATTTCTTAAGTGACATCTACAGCGATTGAAAATATGCCATCTGAGCTAAATGAAAGCCTTACAAATGTTCGACAGCTAGACCTACAAGCTCAAAGTAACCTTACAAAAGACATAATACTCAATTTTTAAGATATTTTAGATTCGCTATCAGAAACCATCCAGACGTTTTTCGAAAACTGCAGGTTTGGTAGACTCTTAGAATATGAAAAAAGTACTCAGATTCTTAATATTACTCGGGTAACGTGTGGTATGTTATCACGAATCTCGACAGGAATATGAGCGAGCACTTGTTCATTGCAAGGACAAACGAGAAATAGTGGAAAATATTTATAGCACAGTATGATAATTCGTTATAATTCCTATCTCAAAGTATCGTAAATTAGTGAGAAAATTGGATATTGAGTTAGAAAAGTTCCGAATTGAATTAGAGGCTGATAATTCAGGAATAACAGAACAAATAGAAAAAAGTAGGTTATTTTATTAAGAACATTGCACTTAAGGAGTTCAGAATGCACTGGGTAAAGCGATAACAACAAATCCGAAGGCAGAACGTTGGTTGTTTCTTAATTAACATACGCTTTTAGGTAGAAGACAAAGACTGCGATTTCAGCAATCTAGTCATTGCAAAAATAACTTCTCAGTGAGAAGACGACTGGTTGGCCCGGCTTTCCGAGCCGCACTTAAATCTGCTTGCATGAGACCCATGCAATCGGGGGGAGTGCCGTCTCTGGAAAATACTAAATTCTCACTAAATGGTGACCAAACGTCTTTTAATAACTCCAGTTTAATCTCAACTTCTGGATGTCATGTTCAAGATACAGGATCCTACAGAAAGAACACTGTTCATACGGATGGACTAAGTCCCCTTAAATCAATTGACGAAAGTAAGTTTACATTTTTCAATATACCCTCACTTCATTCAATAATAAAACAAGTTGATATTGTTTCCTATAAAACAGCATTCAGCTTCTTTCCTTGTGCGCATGTATTTGAATTATGTACTTACTGTTACTTTAGACAGAATGGATATCCAGCAACATAAAAACTCAATATTTACTGGCTACGCAAGTTTGTGAGATTTATGCGTAATTTTTCTTGGTTTGGATAGGATATTTAGCTCTTTTCATCAAAGTTCTCATCTGTCAAATAATATCACAGAGCATCCTGTTATATTTGTGCTGTTGCCTGTGTTCGCAGCTGAAATAATTCGGCTATTTTATTTATTATTTATTTGAACACATAATTATTGGTACAAGGGGGGCACCAAATATATATGCGCCACACAAAACAATGATAATTTGAAGAGAAGGAGAAAAGAGAAAAAAAAGTAATGAACGTGGGGAATTATAAAAAAAAGGGAGAGAGACAGAACAATGGTGGGGGAAACGGAAAGGTACAATCAGAAGAGATCTTTCAGTTAAGGAAGATACAACCACTTTTTATGAAGAAAGTAAGAGGTTACAGCACGATCGCCACTGGCTTCTATTCTGGGCCATATCTGATAACGTCTCTAGCCACTGCGTTACACCGTCTCTCGGACCCCAACCAGGGAGTCGTGAAGGACCAACAGAAGCTAGCCCTTTGCAGCTTTCTTTCATACCACGACACCATGTCATATACTGACCACCTCTCCGCTTTTTCCAACCAGTCCCAGAGTCGGCAAATAATGCACGACGTGGAATTCTCTGGGACGACATTCGTAGAACATGTCCAAGCCACCGAAGTCGGTGTTTCAAGATGGTGACACCAATTTCATTATCGTCTCTGTGACCGAACACTCGATGCCGAACCTCTGCATTACTGACATGGTGTTGCCACTGGATGCCAGCAATCCTTCGGAGACAACGATGATCGAACACAGAGAGTCGTCTAACATCCTCAACTCGGAGAGGCCAGGTTTCACAAGCATAGAGCAAAACTGCTCTCACCGTCGCGTTGTAGATCCGACCTTTTACAGCCAGACTAACATCACGAAGGCGCCAAAGGTGGCCCAGATTGGCATAAGCCGCTCTGGCTTTCACTATACGTGCATTGATCTCATCACTCACACCACCACCAGCACTTATGTAGCTACCTAGATACACGAACTTCTCGACTACTTCTATCTGCTCACCATCCAGAGTGAGTACAGGATTAGAATCCTGCCAGTCTTGTAGGAGTACTTTGCACTTCGAAGGTGCAAAGCACATACCATACCTACGGACATTGATTGCCAACTGATTAAGTGCGGATTGCATGGCTTGGGCATTCTCGCACAGTAAGACAATATCATCTGCATACTCAAGGTCGAGTAGTCTTTCTCCAGGCAACAGATCCACACCACCATTACTTATATCCGTCAGAGCTGTTTCCAGAATGTCATCGATGGCAAAGTTGAAGAGGAATGGTGAGATTGGGCAACCCTGCCTAACCCCACTGCTCGAATGGAATAGTGGATAAAGGTGATTGTATGCCCTCACTCTGCCTAAAGTGTTTGTGTATAGGGCTTTTAGGATGTTAATAAACTTCTCAGGCACACCCTTCTTCAATAGACAATCCCAGAGAACAGTTCTGTCCAACGAATCGAAGGCAGCCCTGATATCAAGAAACACTACGATTGTTGGCCTTTGATAAGTATGGTGGTGTCTTAACATTTGGCGGAGGATGGAGATATGATCAATACATCCTTGACCAGAACGAAACCCAGCCTGCTCCTCGCGAGTCAATCCTTCTCGGGTTCTGAACAACCTACGAAGAATGACGGAAGCCAATAGCTTGGACGCAATCGGAAGTAGACTTATCCCCCGATAGTTGTTACAAGAACGACGTAAACCCTTTTTAAAAATCAGGACAACTATCGACTCATTCCATGACGTCGGTACACTCTCTAGTTCCCAGACCTTTGTAAACAACGTCGCCAGTCCCTTAGTCAGAAAGTCACCACTATCTTTAAAAAGAGCCGGAGGTAAGTCATCTGGGCCCGGTGATTTGTAACGTTTCAAGAGTTGGAGTTCCTTGCGGACTTCCGCCTCATTTGGTGGATCAGTCGTCACCGGCCATGGCGGGCAGGACAATCTGACCGATGTTGCCGGAGCAGCAGGTCAGTTGAACTGCCCTTCGAAAAATTCTGTCCATCGTCCAAGACATCGATGGATGTTAGTGATTGGCGTTCCGTCATCCTCGCAGATTGTTTCGCTCAAACCAGACTTCTTGCTGCCAGTGACTTGGAAGAGCTTCCGGCAGTAGCCGGATGCAGCTGCTGCTCCCAGCTCATTAGCACGCTCCGACCACCAGGCTTCTCAGTCCGATTTCATTACTTAACATCCTTCGTCTGTGGTCAAACTCACGGTCACCCGGAGTAGACCGACGGATTTCAATGAGCTTTAAGGAACCAGAGGAAACCCAGTGCTTATGAGCGAGACGTTTCGCGAACCCACAACAGACTTGACCCGCCATTTTCATCGCGTCATGCAATTGCAACCAATGCTCATCTATACTTTTCGGTGGAATGGTAGCTAGCCTAGAAGCTAGCTCGGTTCGGTACTTACTAGCAACAGAAGTTGCAGCCAGCTTGCTAACATCAATCCTTTGGTGGTGGTCACTTCGTTGTCCACTGAAAAGTAAGGTAAGATTGGCGCAGACCAGAGCATGATCAGATTCCAGATAGGTACTCCAAAAGGAGCGGCAGTCTTGTACACAACCGCGCCAGCGGTAGCTGATCGCGATGTGATCAATCTGAGTCCAGGCTTGAGATGCAGAAGGGGGACGCCAGGTGGCACATCGGCAATGACTGTGCCGAAAGTTAGTGCTAGCCAGAAACAGGTTGTGGTCTGTGCATAGTTGCAGTAGACGTTCCCCGTTATCTGTCCTGCGACCAACGAGTCCCCATCGACCACCTAAACGACTCTCTTCTGTGCCTAGACGCCCGACCTGAGCATTCAAGTCTCCAGCTAGTACTACAATATCAGCCTCATTTTCGAATATGGCCATAGTGTGACTTCAGTTGTTTCTGAAATTTATCATCACTGAATTCAACTTTAATGGGTCTTCTTGATATGGTTTTTCTGTGTCCAGTGAGGCACATGCAAATGCGTGCTCGTATTAAAGCATGATCAGAGTCAAAACATGTACTCCAGAACGATCGGCAGTCTCCTATCGAGCCTCTTCAAAGAGGAATAATGGTCTAATTGGGTCCATCTGTAGTTTGGTGCAGGCAGTCTCTGTGTTAGACGATATCTTTCTTTATGCTTAAAATTAGTGCTTACTAAAAGTAAACGATTGTCTGAGCACAGTTGCATCAGTCGCTCACCATTATCTGTTCGTTGAGTTGGAATACCAAGGACAACTACTTGAGGTCGGTCACACACGACCTTTTTTTCTAGGTGATTTTTGTGTTAGCTCCGTACTTGTTGAGACCTAACCGCCGGGGACGGAAACCCATGGGATAAGGCAAAGTATGCGTTTTCAGTGTCGACCTTTTTAACCCCACCCTTCATTTGTAGGAAGACAGCATCGCTGTTATGCTGGTTTTCTGAGACACATTTTACTGCCGTCACACTTCTGTACAGTCACCAGTATGACTTCACCCTCGGACCTTGGGTTTGTTGCTTCTAGTCTTACCGTTCTTCAACCGACCTGTCTGGCATCTTGAGGAACAACTGTCCCAGTCAGTTATAGTGATATATAGCTCATTGATGTGCAGTATACTTTTGCTTTAGCTTCTAGACGGATATCTCTCTTGCGCAGCAAGTGACGCGAGTGTGGAAAATCTAAGGTTGCAGCAACGGCTGAGCAACAAAGGAGGTTACTTTGTAGTGAACAAACTTACCAGTATTAGACCACTGAAAATCTAAAAACACTGGACGACGGTCCCGTTCTAGTATAGGTTCAAGCTTCACACATCCACGACCCCGCACGTTGACTTAAACTCAGAACTTTTAGTCTCATGCGCAAGCACATGATGGTTGTCAGCATATGGGTTCACTTCATAATATGAATGAAACCTAACAATCTCCATAAGCCTATGCTCACAATTTTATAAAAGTTGAAGGCCGGGTATAAAGCGGATATTTATAAAACTATGTTTGTAGGAATTCATTTTACAAATGTCTTCACAAAAGAGAACAGGCATTTGTTAATAACCACGAATCCTAACAATGCTAAAAGCACATGTATTTTTCTAAGTTGTCTATGCCATACGTTGATATATGGAAAACCAATATTTAAGTGGGAAACCCTTGTCACATTCCACTTCACTTTTTTGAAAATATTTTTGTATGTAGACTCAATATGTTTGGACCAACAATCCAGTGACAGTTCCTACGACAGAACCTTTGACACGTAAGTTCAAATTTCCTTTGAATAATTTAAAATGCATGAATTGCACGGTAAAACCTCCTTGTCACGTGTTGTTAATTTTTGGTATGAAAATCCAAGCTTTATGATGTCTAATTACGATCAAATACACCTTTCACTGTTTTCAGTTAGTGTTGATAGTGATCAGAATTAAACTGTAAAATCTATCATCAACGATTTCAGCACGATATTAACTTTCGCCCTATGACAACGTTCTAGTAAAACAGTAAAATGTGTACAGTTGTGACAATCAGCAAGAACCTACAGTCCCCTTAAATTTATTGAAAGCAACCGGGATATCTTTTGAGAATGACTTTTTACATGTTTAATGAGAATTAGCCTCTTGAATTAGGACTCCAGCAATTACCGGTAGTTATGTTTACAAGCTCCCATGTTTGTTATCCTTTTAAATTTAATAAAATTTCTAAGGATCATAGTTTCTATTTCTAAGAATTACGTTTACAGGCTTTACTAGTTTTTCTTTTAATTCATGTTATAATTCAGCGAGTATTAACATCATTTGAAAAGGTAAGGTACTATGTACAAAATACCACGTTGAGAAACCCAGACACAACTGGATCTAAATAGCATGTGTTAGGACTTTGGAGTATTCACTTATCTTAAACAATCATTTAAGTGATCTGCTTTTAGTCGATTTGTGTCATAGACGTTTATCGTCAGTGATTGAAACCCATAAACGATAGCTCAAAACTATTCACAAGTAATTGTTAATAACTAGCAAAAATACACATTTTCGCTGCACTTATTATATTAGATGGATTTACACTTGGAAAGGAACCCGATGTTTTTGTGAGCATTCTAAGTTTATTAATCAGATATGATGTTACGGAAAACCCATGTATATCATAAAATACTTGCATGGTAATCTTTTGTTTTGGGTTTTACAGGATTAATCCACAAACTGGAGGAGTTACAAAGTTCGAAGAGGATACTGTAAGCGTTCACAATGCAGGTGCTGGATTTTCCACAATTTTGAAAAACAATTCGAGCTTGCTACCAGATACGTCACTGGATGCTAAGACTCACACTGGAATGCACGATCGTATTATTAAAAATGCAAACTCTTCCAGTGGTCATGTATTTTACGACACAGCAGAACCTAACTTTACCGATCGTGACAAGCTCAATTTAACACCGAGGACGGGTTTAATTGAGAATCAAGTGACAGACAATATCAGTTCACCCGGGTGGCCCGGTTTAACGCAAAGTTTTTCTAGTGCTCGCGAAAAACGCCGATACCCACGAAGATTCGATAGAATAGGGCTAGCATGTGACCTCACAGTTGATGAATTCGGAAAGCTCGATGACTCACCTAATTCTAGTGTCAATGCAACGCTGGGGCATGGATTTGACGATCAAACGTATGAATTTAGTGGAAATCTGAAACCAGAGGATACTACTGATCCACCAGATGATGATGAAGATTACAAGCGTTACTGCATATGTCGAGATGTAAGTTATGGTGACATGATAGCATGCGACGCCCCAGACTGCCCCTTTGAATGGTTTCATTACGCTTGCGTGAATCTAACCGTTGCACCAAAAGGTCGGTGGTTTTGCCCTACTTGCGCTAAATCCTTAAATAATAAGAAAGGCATCAAGAAAAGTTCATCTAGGAAATAATGACTGCTTCAGATGTTCAGGGAAGGCCAAAGAACCAATAAAGTGCTTGAGAGCAATTCTGATATATTCATGATTTTTAAACTTGTGTATAAGCACATGAAATATAATGTAATACGCTGCGATATTTATAGACAAAATTTAGGGTGAACAAATAAAAAGAAAATATTATTTGTATGTACATGGTCACAGTGCCTGATACATCCAAGATGCATAGAAGTTCGTTTGTAAACAATGAAATTTACAAAGTCACTCTATACACTGTTTAAATAGCTTGTTGGAAGCGTAAGAAATTTTTAAGATGATTGTGTCGTTGGCGAATACATGTTTGAAGTCCCGACTACAGGAAAAATAAATGAATAATTAAAACAAAGGATACTTAATCATTAATCAACATTACCTCAGTACTATTTCTTCAACTTTTTTGCCATATATAAAGTATAAAAAACAGTTGCATTATATTTTTTTGTAATATCTCAGTAAACAGTAAGATAAAATTACAAAGGCTGATAACCTCGTTTAGTTTTCTATGGAACTAGTTACCTACATTCTTTTCTGGATATTTCTTAGTATTATTTTATGCAGTCGGTTGTATTTCAATTTTCGAACTCAGACGCTATTAAACTGGTTGTAGGGAAAAATACCCCAAATGCCCTGGTACGGCCAAGAGTGGGGAGAGTCCGCTCTCCCTCTCGAAATGCTCTCATATGGCCACGCGTATATAGCCTCTACCAGGGAAGTCTTACTCACTGCCTTCTCGTGGCGGGGGTGTTTACGAAAATGAGAGGACGAAAAGCGAATGTCCGGCGTTTTAACCGGATTCCAAACCAATGGTGTACATGGGCTCCAGTATCCTGAAGAAACAAATGGTGTATGAACCAATCGTTGATCACCGGCTACCATGGGACTGCATCTCTTAACGGTGCTCCACTGCCTTGTGGGTCAGACGTTCAGGTTGAAGGCTCGGGGTGTGACCCCCCAAGAAAACCACCTGCTTCGGTTTGGGCACCCGGGCCGTATCACAGCCCTCACATATATCCAATGAGATCTGTGTGGCGCATATGTATTTGGTGCCTCCTTGTACCAATATCTATGTGTTAAAATAATAAAATAATAATAGGGAAAAATACATTCAGTTTACCGTCTATTGATCTAAACCATACAAAACAATTCTTTTAAATATCACGAGCACCAAGTTTCGATAAAAGCTGTTTCATATTTAAACACCGGATGGTATTAAAACACAGACATGATCAGCAAGCACTCAACATTTAGTCACATGTCTGAGTCCTGCTATATCTACTTCAATTTGAACACGCAAAGTTCGGTTCAAAGCCGTGTATGTGGATTTATACTGGGTTATTGAGTTAATTACTTTACCTTGTGAGAGTTTCGAATTAGAATTGTTGGAGTTAAGTGAAGTTACATATATGGGGGAAGTTTTTAACCTAAAATTACGTTATTTCTTTGTTAATGGCCCATGATCTGACTCCGTTCCGGACAGACAAACCCTGTCGGCGGTAATAAGCTGAATACGGATTAGGTAAGATAAATTAGTTTCGAGCATTCGTGTACACATACAAACATGCCAACTCAATTTGATAAAGGGTGACTCAATATTATTGGCCGGGCAAACATAAACTGAAGACGTGATGAAAAGGTTAAGCAATACACACTCATACGGTTTTAAGCACATATTTGACAAGATCAAAATGTGACGCAAGAAAAATGAATAAATTGGTCTGTCTGAGGGCTGGAATAACCCATATGGGCGTGACAGCACTAGACACTACACTTTGAATTTTTACAGGAACGATATGTAGTTTTTGTAATCTAGTTTTACATACATGCTTCTACAATTCAATTCAATATAAATCCAAGTGCACTGAACGCTCCCAGATAGATTTGTGGCAGATTATTTTATTGCAAATAAAGTGGGACCTGGTACAAATGCGCATCTGTTCAAGTTGTTAAATTTAATGTCATAGAAATGGTTGAAGTATGACGAATGTAATCTGAAAGACTTTAATCACATTTTTAATTCCATATAGCCATTATTTGTGAAAGGCAGCGAGAAATAGTAGAATGTGGACGATTAATAATGTTATGGTACAAGAGTGTTTGACGTATGTAAAACATACTGATAATTCTAGTTTTTGTTGTGGCTGCCAATTCTTTCACTGTAAGACAACAGCAGGAAGTCATCTATTAGGATGAAAAAAGGTCCATCAGTCTTATTTCAACAGACTCGCGAGTTGCGCAGCTAGGCTGTTTTTTTAAGGTCTTGAGCTACATAAGCATACACCCTAATCCAGACACAATCTTTTAAGTGGGTACTCAAACATAGTAAGGAGGGAGTACGTCCTATGCCCCGTGAAGGGTAACAGGTGCAAGTAATGTTTTGTGTTTACAGCTTTGCATGTTAAGTCGGAGCCACTAAGTGCTTTAGCTCATATTCTCAGAATTAATAGTCCACTTTCAGGCGACTGTGTTCGCTCCTGTATAACGAAAAGACAACTAAAGTTCCAGTGTATTGAATACACGGAGGTCGATTTTATTTATTTTTCGCCACAAATATAAGTAGTTAAGTCAATTAGTTACGCAGATTTATCAAATAGATTGCTTACCACCATGATCATTTTGTTCGTGGCTTCTTCGTGATTCTGTATCAGGAAAACATTTCAAACATTCGTGACAAGCAAACACCTTTGAAGCTGAAAAGTCAAATGTTTGATTATTACTGTTTCACAAGTAGGGAACTCACTATTATGGACCGTAAGGTTGTGTTCAAGAAGAGCGAACTTTGATGGAAATAGCATATTACACGGGGAACATAGGCTGATTGAATCTATAAAGATTTAGAAAGATAAGATTTCAGGTTAGGCCTATACACCATTGATTGCGCCTATATCGCTAACTGAAGTAAGCTTGGATCTTGTTTATAAAAATATGTAAAAAGATGCTAAGTTTTACAAATATTAATGATCTCGTAGAAAAGCAGACAACACTTTGAAAAAGTAATAAGGATTAAATTACCTGAGTGCACAGTTTTTGTATGACGATTAAAAGCAAACTTGGTTGAAAAACTCCTGTTACACAAAGGGCAGATGCACAATTCCGCACCTAGGTAAAATATATGAAAATGGTAGTAAATATTCATCAAGTAATAAAATGCCAAATGCTAAAGGCGGTGTGAAAATACTCACTTTCGTGTATCAGTCTCATATGACGCTCTAGACCATGTTTGGCAGAGAATTTCTTCCCACAACAAGCACAAGGAAGAACAAGTTCTGATATACCTGCAAAATATTTGGAAATAAAAACGATCCTTAGGGAATTAGAAAATATAAGTGTACTTAACGATTTGGATGAACTTGATTTTTTCTAAAACCAAGTAGGTATACCTCTGCCTTATTACATAGGACATCTGCTTGGGTGCGAGAGATTAAATTCACAGTCCTAGTTAAGTATTCGAATACACCATGGTAAATACTAAGATTATTTTTTCAATGGGGAAGAACGGGTAATTGATGGGTCAGTATTGATAAGACTTTCTGTATACTAATGTAAATTTATCTTATTTAAAAAGGGCTAATTAGAAGTCGAAAGCCCGGTTTGTCCACCTGGTGTCTTAAATGTAAGCATTCTGTGGAACGTTGCGTATTCTTCTCCACGTAAAAAATAGACCTATAAGATCTGGAGACATTTACAACAAGCGATGATAATAAAGTATGGAATACCGTGACCGGAATTTGATATTTACTGTATCGGCTTCCCAATGAACTTATAGAAGTAGAACACTGGTCTTGAAGTTAGCTAGAATGGTACAATAATATCAAAAATAATAGAAATCTTTGAATGTGAGCAGTACGTGCTAAAACTTAGTATGTCAGATTAAGAACAAACGCAAACGCAACCCACTTATCGAATTAGTAATAATAACTTTTAAACATTAATCTAGAAGTTGGCTTTATATCATGTCAGCACATGATTTAGTAATAGATAAATTTAGGGTTTTGTATGGTATCCTGTTTAACTTACCTTCATGAACTTTTCGAATATGTCGATGGAGGGCGAATTTTGTGGTAAATTTTCGTCCACATGAGTCACATTTGCATTCTTCGAGACCTGTGTTTACAACCAGTAATGCCAGTTGGATTAATGTTTTAGTAAATGAGCATAACATAAGAAAAAACAAAAATGATTAGCAAAATAAAATAATTTTACAGATTTTGAAGATAAATGTGGATTAGTAGAGCTCTACGGCATATTTTACTTTGATTCTTACCTAAATGTTTATGAAAGCTAAACGGTTTAATCCCACGATGAAGTACTATATGTTTATTCTGAAATACTTACACTGGCAAGGTTGATGAATGAGTTAGTTTCTTCTTTTGACCCTTGACGATGTTCAAATAAGACAACGCAAACAATGCTGCAAGTGTATAAACATAATCTAAGTCTTTTGTGAAGCAAAATAAAAAGGCCTAACGGTAGAAACATAAATTCAAATAATCTACGGTATATATTTAAGCCTTCGTTATTAATCACATGATATCCATGACAGTTAAGGGAAATACTGGCTGCCTAATTAATGAGGCGCAAGTTAGGATTTTTATGTGATTTAGCGACCGATAAATGTTGACAAGATCAATTAGGCGGAAAAACATAGACCTATTCCTGCGGAGTTTTACAAAGCAAACCATTTTCGTTGCAGAACTAGACAATGCTATATTTGAAAATGATATATATAAACATATAATATTCAGAACTCACCTTCATGAACGATTTTTAAATGCCTAGCCATACCGTGTTTAGTAGAAACAACCTTTCCACACAAGGCACACGCCTGGTCATTGAACGCTGAAGTACAATGGAATAAAAAAATACTAGGCAATAGCTACAACTCATTTTATATCCGCCTTAACAAAAGGTTACATTTGTTGACCATCATAGGTTCCGAACTCTGTTGTGAAGGGCACATCAAGTAGAAACATGCCCAATTCATTCAGTATTACTAAAATAAGTAGATATATTTTTGAACGATTGGTTAAATAAATGGAATATACCTATTGGTTCCCTAGAGTCGATTGAATAAATAAAATGCATCATTACACTGATCACTTAATCTACTAGACTTCTAATAGTTAGATAAAAAAAACCCAACGGAGCATGCTTGTTTTAATTTGAATGGTTGCTTTTTGTAAACTCAGTATTAAATGAAAACCATAAACACTCCGACCACATTGCTTCCTAATAAGACAAATAAAATACTCAGAATTATACTATCTAGAAGTATCACGAATCCGTATTAATCTGTCCCATATGAAACATCTTTCACACAGCGTTTGTCTCAAAATATATGTGGTCTTATCAAACATCGGAACATGTTGTCACTGGATGAAAACTGATGTAGGTACGTACGAAGTTATACGTTGTTGCTGATGACTGATATATATATAACATATAGATTAGAATTATCTTTCAGGCATTACTCCATGTTTAGTGAGTACTGCTGAAATTAGAAATAAGACTCCACCACACAGGTCATTCGATAAAGCAGTGTATGTTTCACGCACACTATTCTGCTTCCAAAAATTCATGAGTGCCGATTCTTGAAAATTTTCAAAACTTGAAGTGTATACGGAGCCGAAATGTTAAAACTCGCGAAACATTAGCTTTTTATTTCATTTCATTTAATAAACAAAAGTTCTGGTACAACTAGGGATCAGAAAGCTGTGCACCGACAAAATAAAGAAATGACAACGATAGATAAATAAGGGGAAAGAGACGGATCAGAAACAAGTTTTGGCCTTCACAAAGCTTTAGAAGACGGCCATGGTTATTTGACCCAGGAAAAATGACCACCCTCTATGCCTGGGAGCCCGGCTTGTGAGCTTGAACTTCCGGGTAGCACTGCATTATTTGTCGAACATACTTTCTTGAAAGCATTTGACTGATGTTAGACTTCATTGTTTATTGCGTCCAAGCTACAATCCGTCTAAATACAACTAAAGACAACGTTAAGACACCGTTTCTTTTAATCTTAATGGAGCCATCTAATCTAACAGAACAGTCATTATAACTGGATCTTGAGCTGCTTTTACAACTAAAAATTTAGTCTCCGTTAGATAACGAATCATATGAAAGATGTCCTGGCAACTACAAGCCAAAGTGATATGGTGAGCAGTTACTAAAACAATTGGAGTCAGTCAGTCAGCTGCAACGTAGGACCAGGCACGTATATGCATCGGTTCAAGTTGCCATACCGCATTAGCACAACAAGATGAACACCAGATTCATAGAAGTAGTTAATTCAGTGGTGGTAATATATAGAAGAAATATTGCATATAAGGAGATAGTACAGGAAGAAAGAATTAGTTGGTAGAAAGAAAGATATGAAGTGATTTTAATCTCTTAGTTTAAAGGAAGACAGAGAGTGTATACACCGACGCCATTGTGATCGATTCTGAGCCATGTCACCACGAGTCTCCAACCACTCGTTACGATAGTCACGCGGATCCCAACCAGGCAATCTGAATCTACCAACATGGCTCAGACCAGAAGTTAGTGACTTTGTGGACTGATACCACGTTTTGGTTCGGCCGCCCCTAACTTTCTTCCAATCAACGCGTTCGACTACTTCACCCCCTATCCTTAGTTCAGGTGTTGATGCAGACTAGTCTTGAAGCAACAACTTGCATTTAGAGGGAGAAAAGCGCATCCCAAACATTCTAGCATTGTTGCTCAGTGCTACCAAAAGACTCTGCATTTCATCAGCGTCTTCACCAAACATGACTATGTCATCTGCGTATTCTAAGTCAATAGGTGGACCTCCTGGTAGGAGATCAATACCTGAGAATTCAGTCGATGAGAGCGTTATTTCCAACCAACTGGATTGAGAATAACAAATTAAGCAGATTTTCTGCAATCGTCTGTTACATGTAATTAGATTTTCAGTAGTTATCAATTACTGATACCTGTTGGTTGTAGATGCTTAATTGTTTGATATGGCAAGCACGTTCATACGATGAGTTATCAATTAACTGATGTTGAATACCACAGTTTAATTAACACAAACCTGACTGTTAAACAAACTAAACAAATCGTATTAAAAAAGATGTGTTAATATATCAGCTTAATATAATCCGGGGGTCAAGTAAACCTTTATCACTAGTATTTGCTTTCACTTCGCGTCGTGGGAGTTACATTGGTTCTTGTTTCCAGGTATAAGCAGTCCGACTGCCAACAAAAACACTTGCGATGAAAAATATACTTTCATATACATTTGTTATGTGCTAGAGATACATTTAACTGAAGATGCCAAACAATTTCTCTTCCGAAAAACTAGTAAACGTATCTGGTATTCATTTAATTCAATTTAGATGATAGCTCTAGGAGTGAATATATATATATATATATATATATATATATATATATATATATATAATAGCGCAAAATACAGTAGCTATATATACATATTTTACTTACAATTCATGAGGATTGAATAATATTGAACCTCAACGATATTTGACTGATAACAGATCCAAATAGCTAAAACGGCAAGTTAAAAACAATTTTTCATGAAGGATAGATGCCCAGGGACAGGAAGGATAAACCACGATATTGTATAAAGACTTATATGCCCCGGAAGACGTGGTACAGCTTAGGGAGGGAAGATTCTGTTTTTCCTCTAGAGATGGTTTTATGTTGCCACCCAGATATAGACACCGCCAGGGTGGTCTTACCCTCATCTCACAGCGGGGGTATTGTATACAGAAGAAAGTGAACGAAAGGCGAATGCCTGGCGCTTAAATCGGGTTAATGGATGCTGAAGATCCACATAGGGGAGCTGAAAAGGCCAGATTTCAAACTTTCGGTGCACAAAGAATATAGGATCCTGAGAGATCGGATGACGTACGAAAGCATCCTGTTCATCGGGTATCATGCAACATCTCGTGACGTTGCTCGAGTGCATTGTGGATTAGACTCTCGAGTCAAATGCTAGGGAATTGCCCCCCCCAAGATAATCACATTCCCCGGTTTGGGCGCTGGAGGACTATTCTAATCCAAACAAATATGAATATTAGCAAAGAAAATGTGTTAATTGTACAAACGATGCATGTAAGTGTCTAATTTACGCCTCATTATCCTTCTATTATGTGTTTACACTTCTTTTTAACTCACATCTCGCCTATGTAGAAAGTAATTTCGTCTACATAATTCTGGAGTCCACCAATGAATACCGATTACGAAACAACTGCCATTAAGACAACGAACTCTCAGAAGCTGGGTTCTTGACCACCTGCCCTAGCAACTTAGAGTATATATTCAGATGGTATTACTGCACTTTATAGACGCGTGACTGAAACCCAGGTACATGAACACGAACTTGATTACTACACTGAGAATTGTATAGAGGTCAAAATAGGACGTTTTACGTTAGGATTACAAATCAATTGTTACATAAGCTAGTAGACATACAAACGGGTAACCCGAAAAAACCACATAATTTGCCTGCATAGAAATTTTTGAACAATATGATACGATTAATGTAAGTGAATTTTAATGCACTGAATAACAGTGACTAGAAATATTAGGTTGTCAGTGCCAGTTAGACAAGCTGATGGCTAAACCAAGATATTTGTGAGCCGTGTACCAGGCTAAGTTTTCTTAAACGATAAGAATTCCATTCAAATCAGGGACCGATCAACATAATATAGGTAAGAATTAGTCGTTGGATAAGTTGTGACGACCATAGAATCGCATATAGGGAAACAAGGTCGAGTACGGACAAGTCTGCTTGGTATTTTCCATGACGAAACTTGCTTTTTGCTGACGTCTTACTTTAACATCAAGTAAAGGTCGTTTAAGTCACAGTTTATCCAGGATATCAAATTGAAATTACGATCGATCAAAACTCACTCACTTAAAAGTGAAATTGAGGTCTTCCTCATAAATTACGGAGTTAAACTGCTTGTTTACTCACAATATAGGCTTTTGGTGAGACCTAGTAACCATTCGAGTTGTAAACAACTCATGCAGTTCTATGTGCAAACACAGATATTTAGAAACATATTAGTGACAAAACCAAAAGTTTTCAAGGATAAAAAGTATTTCAAACATTTTTACACAAAAAGTAGTAGTGTCTGATCATAAAACAGCATTACTCCACATACTAAACACAATTTAACAACGATAAACCACCTAGAAATGCATCAACCGCATGACGCGCGTTCCTTCAATTTTCAATTCAATCAAAAAGACTGAGGACAAAGGAAAACAACATTTGTATTTACTCTGAATAAAAAACCTTCGGAAAAAATTGAAATTTCATTCTTTATGCTGAAAGAAGGAGCTGCTATAGAACCACAAGTTGGTAACTCGTTAAAACGTAAGAAAAAACATTGCAAAAGTATTTGAAAACCGTTAAAACTCATCATGCACTACAACCGTCCGGCCATCATTCAAGTCACAACATTTGGTTTTAAATGCGTTTGACCTACAGTCTTACTGCACTTGCGCCGCAGTCTATGTACAAAAACCTTCATAATTTAAAGATGCCAGTCCACTGATATCAGAAATCGAAAAAACGAGTGAGCATGAAAACAAATTTGAAAGTGTTTGGTGCATTGAATTGATTTTGAGATGTTTGAGCAACACAGTGTGACAATTCGTGGTATTTTGAGGACACATAATCTGCGCCTTCAGCTAGGTTGCGTCCAGTAAAATCTAATTATGTTAACATAAGTGCCTAAGATCTACGGAACTATTTCTGCTAAGGACTTATTTATGACTCCAGACAAATCTCAGTGAGATAGGTTTTATTTAGTTTACTGATTTGTCCTTCGTTATGGTTCTTACTTTGCTTATCTTCAAGTTTTACTATCCTCACATATATTACGACAACATCGCAAATCTAAGTAAGGCGTTCTTCCACTGCATGCCATCAAAAAGTGAACAATCTGGTGAAATAAGAATATGTGAACTATGAGTTTTGTATTCATTGTTCAGTATAAAATAACGTAACGACACTTACTAAATTGACTTAAAATTCTTAATCATTACTCATGTTATCATGCATCCTTCCTCAAATTGCTTTCTCGCCAAGAATAAAAGCCCGATTACGTATTGTATCATCAATGTCTAACTCGTGCAACACAACATACAAAGATAGGCTTCGGGTATATTTTTAAGCGGTGGGATTAAAAAATGTATACATACGTAGAACTGATTCTGGAAAAATCACATTAAATTCATGTCAGCGAAAGCAAGAAACAATCTGTCTACTCACAATTTCGAGTAGAGTAGGCCATTTCGTAGGATTTCGAAGGGAAAAATTAGTGAAATACACAGGATGATCACATATTCGCAATATTCTAAAATATGAATACCGCAGATGGACTTAAAGAAAATTACAAACGTTAACCAAAGCAACTCGAACTAGAGTTAACTAAGCATGCAATCAATAAATATTCGAAAGCAAATTTCATTTACAAATAGTATGATATCATCGCCTTTTTAAAACGCGCGCTTATATCAATATGATTGGTTAATTTCTGCATATTATGATCACTTTTTAAAAATTCGTAAATTTCAATGATCAAGGCACTGAGACAGGTAGTTGTCTTTTTGTCTCAAATTCATATATTTTGAATTTGATATTACTGTTGTCATGACTTGGTGTACAAGGTAATGGCGGATGATTTGGATGTGGATAATGGATCGGCAAAAGTGCCCGTTTCTTTTTATATATGAACAATTTTTGATAGTTTGCCAAAAAAGGAAGAAGAGCTAAAAAAACGATTAAAGACAGAGATGATCCAATTTCTAATGAAATTTATCTACGTAAAGCTAATGACATAAAGGTAGGTTTTCTCGTGATTCATGTGAATAAGAAGAACACTGAATTTCCGGAATGTAAAATAGGCGGTTGGAATGAGGGTGAAATTTCGCACAGCGTATCGTTTGGAAGGTATTTATACAGTTTAGAGTGATGATCTTAACTCATAAATGTTTTCTTTTTCCAGGAGGTATGTACTTCACATATATTTCAACAAACACGTCCACAGAGCTGATGAAGATACACTAAATGTTTGCAAAGCTTTACGGAGGGAAGGTAAAATTATTTTTAAACCTTATGATGAATACAATCTGGAAAATATCTTTTAGAATCTGATGAAGAACTCGGTAATCTTCTATTTGTGTGTTTACGAATAAACAGAGATACCTATTGTTCCTGATTTAAATAGTGTTGAGGACCAGTCAACTACATTTCAGGGTGCGGTTGCACCGAGGTACATGAGTTTTCTGTCGATTGCCTCATCATTTTCTTGTATGTTATTAAATTTTAATGAAGTTATGAACGTTTAAATTGAATTTGTAATGTATCTTTCAGGACTAGACTGTTTTAATATTTCGACTTATGTAAGTTTGAACAAGTCTGATGTACAGAAGAGTAGCTGAGAGGATATCTAAATTCTTGAACATGAGCCACATCGTGCAATATATATTTAATATAATACATTTCCATTGTTACATATGTTAAAATGTATAAGGCTAGGCTAGGCTAATATATTAAACAAAAAGGTTATAAAATATTTAAAACAAATAGTGTTGATAAACGACATGGATCGTTGGGCCTTAAATTTTATGCCTATTCAAGCTCATCTTTATCGGTAAAGTATATCATGAGAGTTTGTAGAGCACATTTACTGGTCACGTAGTACCTTAGTTCATGAACCTATTCCAATTCTTACAAGCTTTTAAGTACTAATGTATGCACACTGAGATGGATACATGGTAGTCAGTAATGTTGCATAGCAGGGTTAACTGAGTAGCTTGGATTTAAACTGGCTTGATTTTGAATTTTCATTGTTGAAAGGAGTAAAAGTAGGATAAAATAACCTCCAAGCGTTTCGCTTCAGTTAATGGGTGAAAATTGTCTTTTTAAATAGAATAAGGAAATGTAGCTTTGTTTGATATATATACATAGCTGAACTTAGGCATTTTTCATGTAATACCTTTTATATTTAGTGAATTTATGAAACTTATCTGATCCGTTAATGTGATTTGGTTTGCTTTAGTGTGGTCATAAACAAAATTCCAGCGTACTGTGAACTTAGTCAAGATCTACTCAATCATGGCACGCTTCAGTTGTTGGTAAGATAACATTCTTAAAGTGAAGATAGTGAACTTTTTAAATACTTTTCATCATAATCCATCTTTTTTTAGAACGGTTATATTAACTTGAGGGTTTTGAAGAAACATTTATTCTCTGAATCTGAATTGCAAGAAGTAAGAGTATAATTATTTGAATGATTTGAAAATCTATTTAATTGTCATAGATTGATGAAAAATGGAGTTGGGACTTTTTGTTTTCTGAATTAAAGACACGGAAATAAGGTTGTAAGCTAACCTTATTTACATATTTCATGTTAATAAATCAAACCATTTGTAACAGCGACACAAGATATCGAAATAATATTCCCTTTACAGTGTTAATTTTGGCTTTTACGTAGCATTTAGCACAGGATATACTATAAACAAAATTGACTAGTATTATTGGTTAATGAAGTTATAAACTAATCAAGTGAAGCGTAATTAAAGACCCAACCTATTATTTTGGGGTCAGCTAGCTAGTCGTTATTTATGGTTGGGGATCTTGGATGACGTGGTTCAGTATCAAACGCAGTAACGCATGTCTATTGATTTCCTATTTTATTTCATATTTTGACTTTAGCGATCGTTTTCACGCATTCATTTTTTTCGAAACGTGCTTCTTATCCTATTTTCACGAACACTGTCGCTAACTTTTAGGCTTATTAAATTTTTTCCTATTGATTTTATCTGCTTGTACTGGTATAAAACTTCACAGACTAGGTCTATGAATATTTGGTCTAGATCTTATGTTGTTTATAAATGACTGATTAAAGAAGGAGTTTTTTGAGAAGTATAAATAACATTAATAAATTATCTATCAGTGAAAGTGTTGAAATGAAAACTGATAAAAGACAAACGTTTGAAATTTACTAACAGTAATTTCATAATGGTGATAATATCGAACGTATTTTATCTATAATTGAGCCAAAAAAACAATTATTGGCCGTAATAAGATGGTTCACTAAGTACTTTTTTCAACCAACTTTGCTTTTATTTCCTGAGTGTTTCAATCTCCTTCTTTGTAATTTAATATTTTTCCGTATTTGTCTGAAATCTCTACCAATAGTGGCTAAATCTAGCAATAAAATTAGCCCCAAAAATATAAAAACCATAATGAACATAATTGAGGATAATTTTGATGCAGATTCAGCTTCTTTTGGTTCAGTATAAAGTCGTCCAGTAAGACTTACAGGAACTTTCTCAATTCTTGCTATAAAAAGTGGATTTTAGAAAAAAGTTTTCATTAGATTAGTAAAATGGATGATTGAAATAACAGTAAATAGTATAATTAGATTTCGCTTTCCAACTAACGGTAGATTATTCTTGTATTGTTCCGTTGTACTATTTAAACTTGGATTAATTTTAATTTGGTTATTTATTCTCTGGAAGAAGTGACTTACACTAAGCCACGAAACGTCAGAAAATCTAATTTTCTATTCATTGGGATATTACAAATATATTATTTATTTATAACCGTAGAAATGATTGACCATTGCAGTTTGATCATTAAATCTCGCAGCAGACTATCTGTTTTTAGGTTTGCTTTTTACGAGATTAAGTTAGACGTCGAATTATTATTGAAACTAATACTTTAGTTACTACATTTGTCAAACTGAAAAATTTTCTCATCTCTTATAAATTGAGACGATCAGTGATCATGACTATTTAGACAGGATCATCCTGGGTTTCCAGATTGTAGCTAAGATCGCAGTCAATTTAACTGCTAAAACTGGACCACCATTCCTAAAAATCCCGGGATTTAGTTCATCAGATCCTCCTTTTCCTCTCCCTTCCTTTACATTGCTTATAGTCTTCACAACCTTACTAAGAGTTGAAGGACTTACATCAATCCACCATTCAGATTGACTGGAGATAGTGGGTAACTGCGGAGTGGTTGAAGGACAGTTGAACTGTTCCCTAAAGTGTTCTGCCCTTCGATTTAGTTTCATGGATTGGAAGTGAGTAATAGTGCCGTCCTTCTCCGAGATAGTTTCATTAACAGTTGTATTTTTAATGCCCGCTTCCTCGAGAAATCTGAACAGTTGTCTTCCGTTACCTTTGACTGCTGCTTTTTCTATCATTTCTACTGTTTTTGCTACTCGCAATCACTACATATGATTTTTGTCAGCCCACTTTTAAGCTTCCTCTGCTCCACATAGTGTTTTGAGCAAGGAGTGAAAAGTTTACGAGCATTAACCAGTATCGTAAACGCCCTCAGGATCTATTTGTTCCTCTGGACATCACTTTCATGGTTGACTAACTGCTGCTCTAGTTGTTCCTGAAATATATTTTTTACTTTTACATCATTAAGTTGGACTCTTTTTGTATATATCATTACTAAGACACCTATTTATCATGGTTGTCTACTCCCATTCGGTTTGTCTCTCATTTTCTTCTTTTTTACATTCACACATCACTGACATGACTGTCAGGTTTTGTACTCTTTTACTTATATTTATAAATTGCTTCGTATTTAGTCATCATAAATAATATAGGCTATCTTGTATTCTTGTTGTATGTATGGTGATTTCTCTAAAAAGAAGTCTCAATACATATGTAATCTTATTTGTCATTTATAAGATGTATTCAGTTTAAAGTGCTGGACATTCAAAGAATAGTTTTAATTACTCTGATAGTTATTAAGTACTGTAACACAAATGAATACTAACTGAGAAAAGAAGTCGCAAACTGATGAATCATTGCTTTTCTAAGTAATACATTCTTATCACAGGTAAACACTTGGACTTGACAGACTATTTTATCATCAGATATCGATAAAACAAATAAGTGTTGAGTCAGTGGTCGGCAATAAAGTCATCAATATGTTTCGAAAGGCCACAGAGTTTTCTTGTATAAAGTTATTCGATGAAAACGAGTTATGGATAAAATAAAATACCTGAGAGCAGCTTACTTTTTGCCGTATTTTATATGGTCTTTGTTCCATAAACTGGAATAAGATTGTGGTTTATTACTGATAGCTTTTAGTGTATACCTTTCGAACTAATTATCGACTGCAAGAAACGTTGTATGATTAGTAGTCAGTGAAATATACTATTACTGGTAAACAGTGAATCACTCACATTTCCATTTGTTTGGAAAAATACAACAGTACGGTTAATTATTAGTGCAAAAGCCTATTAGATCTACAGATGGAAATTTTAAATGGAAAACAACCAAAAATTGTTTGATTACCAATACAACCAATTAGTTGTGGAGTCCATTGGCCGTAATTACCGCACGTGATATTCAATTCTGAATTTTGATGAATACTTTCGTAGCCATATTTGCAAAAGTATCGAATCACTGTTCCACGTGGATATGGAATTCCGCTGTGTTTCGTTAAATTCATCACGTCTATGTTACTTTTCATAACGATAAAATATGGTTCCATGTTATAATCTGGTTGTATTACGGCTTGTTCATATAAACAAGTAGCTTCTAAAATTTAAAAATGAACATATAATTTTAGAAATCAGATTCTCGATGCTAGGAAAAATGAATAAAGTACAATGGGGTTAGTTAGTCAATAGAAACCAATATAATCTTCACCTTACTTCACTAGGATCATCACCATCAGGAAACTAATGAATACACATTATATACATGTACGTGTTGTAAAATTATCATATGTATGCGTGTTAATCGGTTTTGAGAATTCATGATTAGTGAGTCCACGTAAATGAAATGTTAACACAAACTTGGTAGAGAAAAGCGAACTTCTGCTTTTTTAGCCGAAGAGATGAATATGTTAGTGTCACAAAAGGGAAATGAATAAACTTGGACCGAAACCCACTTTATTCGTTTGTTTATATAGTAATCCATCTTTTGACGTCACCTCACTACCTCGTAGAATCAGAATTTCTGTCAGAGGACCAGTGATAATCATTTAGGAAGCCATCTGGTTTGGTTTAGACTCTTACAAAAGTCTTGGAAATTTAAACAAAAAGTAAATAAAACAGTTACATATTTTAGCTAATAAACGCAGACTGTATTACTAAGAGCGAAGTAATTTCATTGCATTTTGTCATTCTCATCTTGAATTATGTTGAATGCGATTTGTACATGTTCCTAACTAAATTTCTTTTTACTTAGCTTCTTATCTTTTGGAAGTTTTGACTTAATTAAAATCTGAAGTTGCGTATACTTTATAACCATTCATAATGATTAAAAATGATGTTTTAAACTGTTTCATTTATTTAAAAAACCCATGGGATAAGTACTTACTCTTGTTGGTGTCTGAGTTGAGTTAACTAATAGAGCTAGAACAATATTGATTGACTGAATCACTATATATATTCGTTCATGTGCACCTAAAGTATTAGTTAGAATCATGTGGTAGGGGAAAAAGAAACAACGAATTTTCAGACCTTAAAACATAATCGAATGAATTGAGGAAGTATTCTTAGTTGTCAGTGAGAAGTCTTTAACCATAGAGTGGATAGAATGAACGATCTACTGGAAATTATTATGGATTACAAAATATTTTTTGGCCAATACAACCAGTAAGTTCTCGTATACTGCTAAATGGCATCATATTTCTGCAATTCAAATAAGTCATGTTACAAACAGCTACAACTGGTATGGATGTGTAGATAACTGTTGTTCTTTTTAAAGCACCTGTCTGTATTTTTCTACTGTTTGAGTATTTCCTAAATTCACTTTCCCTCTCAATGGTCAGCAAATTCATCTCCCTAAACAGTTCAATGCAAAGAATTGTTTCTGTCTATCAATAGAGGATACAAAGTTACAGAACGTTGATTACAAGTGTCTTCAAAATATTGATGTAGATTATTTTAGACTATTAAAGAAGCTAGTCGGGATCCGGCTGTAGACTTCCTTTGGATCCTGTACCAACGTCGTGTTGCTTTCGGGAAGATCTATTTTATTGTTATGATCTCTGAAGTCACATCGATTTTATTGTTCATAAAATTTAGTATCATATTACAGATATGACATTTCTATATCCCTCGTTGTGTCAAGCTTTGTTCGTATAATTATTGTGTATTCTACCTTTTGTTGACCAAATTTTAACAGTTGTGATATATACATCCTTGAATCTCTCAAGACGATTATTGTATATGATTAGGAGTGTTGGTTTAATTTAAAACTACGAAACTACAAGTGTGTAAACAAACTATTAGGTTGCTGATTGTCTATGTGATTCATGAAAGTTGTAAGCTACATGGGAGCAAAGCTGAAGACGATAGTTTGGGTTCGTTAGAGATGAGGAACAATGTAACTACTAATAGTTAAGTGATGTGGAGATACTTTTTTCTGCATAATATTAATTGTTTTTTAAATGCGACATACTTTGCTATTTTCTATGTATCTTTGTTTGTGTATATTATGTAGAGAGAGCATGGTATAGTTTATTATTATTTAAACGAAGGAGTTATAACCATGCTTGCAAAAAAACATAATAAATTTAGTGCTTGTTATTAGTTCCTTTTAATCTATATATAAGCCAATAACTCTTGTTAATTTGAAAATTGTTTGGAATTATAAAGCAGATCATATGCACGAAATATTTGAAAAAATAACCTTCCTTGTTAAATTACTAAGTTATTTAAGAATAGATTTCACACTTCTGTCAAAATGTTTTTGGTATTTAAAGTAATTTTATCCATTACACCTTGAGTGCAGTGCTAATAATTTCAAACGTTAGATTGTATTTGACTAAGGTTTCTTGTTTTTCACATAAAATAACTTATCATCAAGCAAAAGCGTATCAATCATCCATTCCATTTACATCCTTCAATGATCTACATGTTTATTTGTTATTTGGAAACTAATGTATTAAATTTACCCTACATCATGCACAGACAATTAGATTTAGGGGTAGTCGTTTTCCGTGAAGTTGCTCGAAAGTAAATAAGTATAAATGTGTGATTTCTCACTACCTTGACATAACACATGAATTTATCTAACTCACCTTGACATTCCGTCGGTAATGGTAGTACTGTACCAGAATAACCACGATATTCTCCAACTGTATCTGAACCAGGCACTAATTCACAAGAAACCTGTTTTTCTGTAGTACGATCAATAAATAAATATCCTGGATTACATCTGATAGAAATCACATTTCCATATGAATAGAATTGATTAACCTGATGTAATCCAAATACTTGTTCCGTGATACGATTACGTGCAGTAACTAACTTGGCATTTTTAGGAATAGTGATGTCCAATTCCGTTTCATTACAACGTACAGCTATAAAAAATGTAAATATTTGATGATGGGATTTTGTTTAGATTTCTTTGTTTGGTGAGTTTATCAACCTGAGGGAAAAATTTTGCATATATGAGCAGTGGCTAGCAGTGCAATTCAGAAAAGGTATATCGTCCTTTATTAGTCCCGTCAATTAGATTTATCTCTATCTGTGTTGATGTTCACACCGAGACTAAAACTCGGTAAATTTCGCTTCAAATATCAGTCGCAGAGTACAGATAACAACTAGCCTATGAAACAGGTACGACCTTATTTTGTAGGTTTGTATTTTCGCGTTTTAATATTCAGTACCACAACTGGTCAGTCTTTATTGGTAAATGTGCATCCTGAGCAGACTATCAAGATATAACAAGGTGACGAGTCTGAAATGGGATAAAATGCTCACTTTTGATTCTGGGATGAAAACAAGCCGACATAAACTGATTAAAATTTAGCCACCAATATCAACAACTTTATAAAACAAATCCTTACTGATAGTCCGGAATGACTGTGTCGCTAAAGTGTGATAATTAATTTAGAAAATTTAATTCCGGAAAGGTATTCTCTTGATTCGCGTGAAGACGTAAGCTTTTGTTTATGTACAATAGCAGTCATTGTAGCTTGCATAAAAGAAATGCTTTACGACAAACTTTTCGGAAGTATTCGGAAACCATTATCACCCCTAGTTAATTTTCATCTTTTTTCTTTATTAGCGTAATCCCATTTACAACGTCAACTGATTTTAGTTATTTTACGAGTGAGAGTTAGAAATGAATAGGGAAAAAACATTTTATGAATCAATTAAAAATGAAACTGAAGTGTTCACCAACACTTAAAAAATTCTAACTGAATCTTTTTTTACAGAAGTCCACAGATGAATCACAAAAGTAATACTAATCTCTAGATTGCATAAACTCTTCTATTCTAAAGTTAGCATAATTACTTAGCACTTTCAAATTAACAAATTTTAGAAAAAAATAATAGTATATACTTAGACTTTAATATTCCTTATTTATCTTCATCTAACTGTCTCAAGCTAAATGCAAATTTAGAAATGACCACTGAAAGCAGAGAGGTATAGGAGTTAACAGTAGAATACAGGACGCTCACTTCATCCCATTTGGGACTCGTCAGGTGGATGTACCTGCTTCCCAGAGTTATTCACTTCAGGACTCAAACCCTGTGCCGTACATCTCTGCTTTCAATGCTTGTAAATGAGTGTCAATACACAGGCAACCTGCACAGGATGCAAATTTTTCAGTAAGAGATTAATCAATTACAGTCCTAAAAGTCGATAGGAGGATTCAAATAACCAGTACAAATGAATTTAGAAATGATCGTTTATATCATACTTAAAGATATATATTTTGCGATGAGAGACTTGAGAACAATTAAAAGGCCTCACATTATTTTCCATTCAATTTTACATTAGTTTGAATAGTTGTTTCTCTATGGAAATTTTTTAAAATGCAAATCCAGTTTTACCAAATAGATTTTTATTTGTACAACCTGTAAGAAATTGGTGAATTTTATTCAGATGTTATTTTATAGATCGAAAACTTGACTTTTCACGAAACGAGGATAGTCTTGTTAAAAGGCTAAATTCGAAACCTACTAATTTAGTCAATTGAGGGGAAACGGAATAGTTCCAGCTATGTTTGAAGGGATATTTATGACAATAAGTTTTCAGATTCAGATATCATATTAACTTCATAAAATGGTTTAAACAAAATGAAATTTCAGAAAACTATTTAAAATCTTTCAAGGGTGAAATGTTATTCTAACATTCGTGTTTTTTCTCAAGCAGGAAAGAAGTAAAATTGTTTGAGATTATTTATTTAAAAAGGGATTATAATACATGAAAAATATTCTCAACAATCCACCGACCAAGTAGTATAGATACTACTTATGCATGTAAAAATTAATTGGACTTGAAGGTATGTTCCAAATTAACTAGTGTGAGAGACCAATTAAAAACCAAACTAGCTGGAGATCATTTAAAAAACAATAGGAAACAATAAGTTTGTTTATGTCATGTTTATTCAGAAGGAATTTATAGTCATTGTTTTGAATTGAAAATATTGTAGTTGATGGTTTTTCGAGGTATCAGCACCTGTCACTAGTTATAAGTAACTAGAAAAATCTAAGGTATCATGGTGCTTACCCACTTATCATCTGAATAAGTTTTATTATTTTATTATAGGTTATCAGTTGTTAAGAGATCGAAAGAGCCTCATAAAATTTAGAATCTTTTGTCATTCAACTGACAAATGGTGGCTAAGTGGTGATGAAAGTTTACTCCTACAAATTATTTTTCAAATAGTACAGTATGATAGTGTGACGGTAATATACATAAAAACCACCAGAGACATTAAACATAGTGAATATGTATCAGTTATCAAATAACCAACTGTACTTTTTGATTTTCACCTAAACATTTGTATCACTGGAATTTAACTCAATGTATCAGATTTCTGTTGATATGAGTGGTTTGTAAACATTATCGAATTTTGTTGTCTATATCGCTCACTAACCTTAAGCAAACAATGAAAACTAGGAAGCATTATACAGCCGTTTCATCCTAATATTGAACTCTTTAGCAGGCCCTGAGAAGGATTGAACCCAGGACATTTAGCTTTCGCGGTGACAGCTCAACCTCTTGATCATTGAACCGTCATCTGATGATTTACATTTTTAATTTCATTCGAATTACAATATTACTCATCAGATTTCAACTGGATATTATTAGTGTTCAATAATATTAAAATCAGAAACTGGTTCAAAAATGACTACTCGCTAAGAATTATTAGGGTAAAGATAAATTATGGATTAGAGATTTTCAAGCTAACGATTAACTCCTACATTTCAACTACCTTCAATATCTTTGGCATGGAATCAGGGCAGACATTTATATAGTTCTAGAAACAAAGAGGTGCAATGGATATTCTGTACTCTAGTATAAACCATATTAACCTTAAAAGAAATATTATTCTATCATAAAACATCAGAGGATTTGTTGTCAATCTTAATTGACATTCAACCAAACACTGTTGCTAATGTGGTGAACAAGAACACGAGTGGGGACAATCGAATGTATCTGACATGAAATTACAGAACATCTCACTAATTTGGAAAATATTAATCAATTGTCTCAAACATGACTGTTCCTTTTGCAAATATCAGTCCATCGTCTCAGATTTCACTGTTCATACATTTTCATACCAGATGCTTTCCGTTCCCATTGTTCCGTTCTCGATTTTATACTGAATTACATTCTATGTCTGACCATCGTTATATACTAAGTATATATATATATATATATATATATATATATATATATATATATATATATATATATATATATAAGTAGCTCACATCACACTAATACTGAATAACTAATTATTTTCATATATTTGACTAACTTGATTAACTTTGGTAAAGTTAAAATAATAAACATTGTGAAGTAAAGTAAATTCATTACTTTGAGACATTCACATACCCACTGATTTGTACAAAGGAATAAAATATTTTACAATGTTAATTTTGTGTAACATGCTAAAAAACCTGTTTCATCATTTTGTCCACCCTAATCACTAACAAGTTGATCATGTTACTTATGTCTTATTACTTCATGATCTTTCTTGTTTGATATATTTAACTGTTAATTGAACTAGTATAAATATGGAGAGGATTTGTATTAAAAGGAAATTTAGGTTGTGTTTTTTTGTTTTTCTACATGATATAAAATCACAATTAATAAAACATTTTGTTTATCTATACTAGTCAATGTGTATAGTGTTAACTTCAAGTGTACGAAATGGAATGATCTCACTTCACTTTATAATTATTTTCAATCGAAAATCTGTAAATTATTTTAGAAAGTGAATACCTTTGGAAATTTATTTTAAAGTAGACTAGATCAAAATATAATATATTCAAAGTACCTGTAGAAATCTTATCACACTCAATTTAAGTAAATAGAAAAATAAAACTATTATGATGCTCGTTTTTCATCGTCTACATGAATGGAGCGTTAATTTGCCTTAGACGACTATCTACACTAGATAACTTCCTAGTGTCTATTCTACAGGACGTCAACATAACTCAGATCAAGAACACGTGACTAGCCTGACTAGAATGTAAGTATATTTTCAAATCAAAAACCGAAAACAGTCTTAGTAATAATAAGAATAAGAGAATATATAACTCATCTAGTACTTGTCAGATTATCTATTAGTCTAACTACGCAAACAACCAATCATTATCTTTCTCGCTGGCAACAAAAACAATTTAAATGCTGAATAACATGCAGTTGATTTATTCAGCGTTAAAGTTTGACAAATTTATTCACTTTATGGGTAGAGCACCATCTCTGAAGAAATCTCAGAACACCAATATGCTTCCTTGAATCTTATTTGTTATCTAAATTAAGGAATGTTATCGTGTGAAAGTATTAAAGTACTGTCTATTGCTTCTCGGTACTAATAATCGAAAGGTTTCTGAGGCCTTGAAAAATTGATCAAACGTTAAAAATCCGAATCCATTTCATTTAAACACTTTATTAATAAACTACTTGGATTGCAATTAAACTAGTGTAGGACCGGAATAAGTATGAGAATGGTTAAAAAAGAATTAACAAATATCACAATATATGATCTTAAATAATGCAGTAGTTTAATTGGCTAGTTTAAAATCAAGTCGTTAACATACGCAATCCGATTTGTCCACTGTACTGTTCATAATGATGGAGAATTGAAAACAGTTGACATAAAGCCTCACAAACTACGTATTGTGTTTAACTGTCATTTGAAAAGAGAGTCCATCTCATCTTTGAGATGCATTTAACTCTATCAGATATTCAAAAGCTAAGTTTACAAGTCTATTTCGATTATTTGCAATTAGCCAATACTGGATGCAGCCTACCTTAACATTGAGTAATTGATATTACTTGAAAAATTGCATGTTAATTCAGCTGAAATTTAACTAAATTAAACACTATGGATGAAAGTGAGTTGTTTTTCAGCTATAAATCAAGGTATAATTTATTCATAATATCTCCCACATAATCTAGAGATAAACGTATATATTTGATTATGAACAAAATAATTATCTCTTTAATGGTTTCAATGTACTTGGATGGATTTTCATAACATTTTCACAGTGAAAAATAAATATCATTTTTGAAAGTACAAACTGAGTTATAATGTCATGCTTTACTAATTTTATTAATTACTACCAATACTGTATTTAGATCGTGTGTATATTAAAATCCTGGTCAAATGGCCTGTCAATAAACTGTACAAGTAACAAAGTTTACGCACAGCCTAAGTTGATAATTAACTGTTGTGTAGATATGCTCATATTAGTGAAGATAAAGCTTTAGTTGTGGTCATACACTGGTAAAATATGAGTAATTTTGTAATTTTCCTGAGTAAACATTATAAAACCTAATTTCTAGCTAGTTTCTGGCTTTATCCCAGCATCTAATGTGAATAAAATGTAGTCAATGGTGGCCTTTTGAGTTAGCTCTAATTCCAAACTGTTTTCTGACAATTTCGATATAATGATTTAGTTTTATTTATAACATAAACCTCATTCGTAACTATGTTTTTTTAGTATCGAAAATTTGTGCTTACTTAACAAAAAAACAAATAGATGGAATATACAAATATTTCCAAAACCTAACTTTTACCTACCTATACAAGCCTGATAATTTTCCGGGTCCCATAAACCCAGATTAAAAGTTGTACTAGCGTGAGCACACACCATTGTTGCTAATGTACTATTAGGATTTTGAAAGCTCACATAACCTCGACTGCATTGTAATGTAATGTTTTGTCCATAATCATAAATAAGACTATCTGAACCAACTGGAACTTGAGGTTTATTTTCTATATTATCCATTAATTCTGGAAAAAGTGGACATTTCACATCTACAGGGCAAGAATTTTGTTATATTTAATTAGTAATATGAATATTCTGTCTGGTGTTCTATTTTAGCAAAACAAAATAGTAATTTCATTTGTTTTACAGGATTTTTTTAATTTTTAAAGTGATAGAAATTTGTAAGATGGTTAATTTAAAAAGATCACTGTATGGTCCAAAATAAAAAATATGTAATTGTCCGTCTTATTATAAAAGAGGATAATTTAGTGTTTGGGCGGATGTAACATGACAGTTATACTGTGGAGTGCAGCCGTGAGGTAACTCCACCTGGAGCCCCTCTGGGGCTGCTGCCGGTCCTAAGCCCGGATGAAGGAGGAGGGTTAGGCATGTTGTTGGCGACCCCACCCAGTAGAAAACTAACTCGCTAAAAAACGTTAACCAGAAGTAACGGTGAGGTGTTCTAACCACCCCATTGTATGGAAAAAATAAAAATCTAGATCAACAAGACGAACGAGAAGACGAAGAAGACTAAACCAGAAAAACAAGGGAAAAGACAGGACAGATAATCAATAAGTCCTGAATGGTAGTAAAAAATCGACGACATAGGACTCTAATTTTACTTCTTTCAGTTAAATTTTTTCATCATAAATGTAGGGAATCTTAAAGACTGTAGATAACTGACCACGTCACCTTTTACATATCAAACTTTTAATGAACAGTTCACCGGATTATTCTTAAGTTGATCGAATTATTCTAAATCAAGTCGGGATTTCGCAAGAAGATTAGTAATTAAGATTTATAAGGGGAATATTTAACAAATAACTTACAGATTACCGAGATCGACGGTCTATTCAAATGACACATTTTCTTTTAGTCTAAATATTTACTCTTTTTAACATGTAATATTTATGGTAGTTTCAGCTAGTCATATACTGCTTATTCATGTCTTATTAATTCGAAGACAAAGGAGATGAAAATTACAGTAACTATCTATTGGAAATCAGAATTCATTACGATTTTAAATATCCTATTAAAAAAAGAAATAACTTCCGATAATAAAATTAAAGATTATTGAACAGAGATCCATAATTGAAGACAAAATCAAATGAAATAGTAATCATTCTAGATAATAAGATTTTGCCTAGTAAATATTGAGTTAGACCTATTGAATAAGGATCAGTGATACAACTAGAATAAAATAGATCTATTGAAACAAAATATTGTCGCTAGTATTTTGAGAAACGGTAAGAAATACTACTTAATTTCATTTTCAAATCTTTATAAGGTATTTCGCGATTATTCTGATGCCCATGACAGGTTAGTCAAATTTAAATGAGATTTAGTACAGGTACACACTTAGCAGTACAGTTTAAAAGTAACTGAATCGAGTAATGACACATGAGAAATGTACAAATGTAAGAAATCATATTAAAATTTTATTCTACTCTTAGAAGTTGTTACAATGGAAGCTACAACTCAATTAGAGAATTCATAAACTCTATAGTAACACTTCGAAGGCTATATCTTTCTATGTTATGCTAACTGAATTTGACAAATTATGAAATTGTTGACAAAGTACGTGTATTTAGTTCACTGGCAGAATAAACACTGAAAATCACTCAATGGCTATTATATGCGTTAACAGTTATGCAGATGATGACAATTAGTTATTCATTTGCAACGTACAACTTGGTAGATGTGTATATCGGTTAAGGTTATCACATCATGTTAACACAGAGATAAAATTGTCAAGAAAATTCCTAAGGTAGCGAAATTGGTAACATTATCAGCAGTAACAAAAAAATTAGACATAGATAGTATGATTCAAAAATAAAAAACGAATTTGTGAAGTGAAAAATTGTGAGATAATTTTGAATTTTATGATTTAATTTATGACAAAGAATGAATCTATCTACACCAATGTAATCGATTCTGAGCCACATGGTTCAATTTCTTTAACCATTGGTTACGATAATCATGCGAACCACAACCAGGTAACCTATGTGCTCCAGTTTAACACTCACTTATTTAATAGATTGATATCGTGTCTTAGGTTCTCCCAAAATTAATCCTTCATTAGCCCTAATCGAGCGTCGAGGTAGGCTGGGAATGAGTATATGTGATACATTTTCAGCCACCTTAGTCAATGAAGATTCAGTATCTTGCCAAGTGATTTCCCATTTTTACCTAGAACACTGTGTCTAACTTCAGCATTTACCACTTGTTTTTCTCAACGTGCAAGGATAACTATTTGAAGGCATGCGTGATCTAGCAAAATAACGTGATAGACGTCAGCCTACCCTTCTAAATTTATGTCAAAGACTTCATCAGACATCAAGTTAATAGGGCTGATAGAACTTCCAAGATGAATGAAGGAGACAACGAGGTCAACAACTTCATTTTTTAAAATCTCAGTTCAGGCGTTGATGCAGACCAATCCTAAAGCAGCATTTGTCATTCAGATGAAGAGAAGTGCATCCCCAAAACGTTTGGTATTTTGCTTAAGAAGATCAGAAGATTCTGCATTTTGCCAGAGTCTCTTCCAAACAACTATCATAAGTCTATTCTAAGCCAACTAATAAATTTCTTGGTAAGAGATAATCTGAAAAATCAAACGATGAGAGCGTTATCTTTGGAAGAATGTCTATGATAATGTTCAGTAAAACTGAGAAAAATGGACTAACTTTTATGAAATAGTGATAACAAGACAAAATAATACTTATTAAAACTATAGGAAAAAAGTGAATGAAATAAAAATCTACACCAACTTTATTAAACTTTTATCCAAATAAATTACACATTCTAAAACTACACTGTATCTTTTAAAAAAATCCTCATTTGAAAGTATATAATTTCTTGTTACTTATTATTGATATAAGAGAACAATCAATAATTCAATATAATTGGATACTGGTTATTCCACTTCTGATACTAATCCAGAATAATAGATTATACTATATGGATAACAATAATAATAATAATAAATATAATTTAAAAAAACAAAACAATCATACAATATTTATTTTGAACAATGAATATTTCATATTGTAAACAAAGGCTGAAACATTAAAATTGATCAATTTCTTTTAAATAATAACATCTATGATAATTTTGTTTATACATAAATATAAAAATTATTTTATGAAATTAAATAAGTAAATAATTGAACTTTTTTAAAAATTGACTTATTTAAACTGAAACACTTACATGAACATGTTGGTAGTAAATAGCCTGAATAGAATAATTGTGGTTGAAACTTTAAAGGATCTTCAGGATTTGGATTATTATTAAATCGTTTCCCTGTGCATTTATATAAATTTTCTGATAGGCTTAAATCCACATCAAAACCAGATAATCGGTTACTAGATGTAATAGGATCTTTTAATGTACCAGGTGCACATTGTACTTCTACAATAGATCTTGGAGCCATGATAGATGGTTTTATAATCATTGTAGTTGAATTAAAGCCTCCTGGTGGATTTCTACAAAGTGGAACTAAATTAAATTGATGAAAAATAAAGAAGTATAAAATGAGGTTGTATATTAGGAAGATATTATCTATGTGAACTCGTCGGTGTCAATAAGATATCAAAATAAACAAAAAGATATTTCAGTGCATATACGTTTTCGAAAGCTTCCCAGTTTAAATAAATTGGTAATTAAAACTATTGCCAAATGTCTTTTATTTATTATTGTACATCAAAAATTGAGCACAGAAATTATGGTTTTTAGAACATTTCTTTGTTAAACTACGGAATCATAATGTTAAAGGAAAAGGAAAAGCAATACATAACATTATGCAAAATACTTTATATTCAGCTTAAATGTTTTCAAAATCTTTTTCTCCAAAAAATGTTCCAAACTAATACAGAGTATTATGACAATTTACTTATAATTAAAGTTAAGAATCCAATATTCATATTTACACTGGAAATATATTATAATAAATCACTGTATGCTAACAAACCTTTATGTTCACAAATGAATGAACGCATCATATCACATGGTTTATTATCGATCGTTTTAATTATAGTCCACTTATCGCTTCCAGATAATGGTTGAGTTGTATATGAGAAGCCAATACAATTTCCTGGTTGTGTTCCTTGAGACCAATCAGTGTAGTCGAAAAGAGCTGTACTACCATCCATATACCAAATAAATGGTTGCTTCGCATCTAAAATATAAGTTTAATACAATTCTGTTTAGTTGACGTATAGTACAACCACTATCGAGTCTTTTGACCGAAAAGTCAACGTAAGAACACTGTCGTTATTTATAAAAGACCAGTGCATTCACCGAATTAATACGTTTATCCTAATAGTATCCTACATTATCCAATATTCAGTTATAAGACTTCAAATGTTAAGTTAATCTTTAGTGGGTTTTGTGTTTGTAACTTTGGATTATTGATTTACTTGATAGACGAATACATTAATAAATACATCAAAATATGCTATGTCCACCAATCAAACCTTTTAACTCAACTGGTGGAATACTGTATCCTTCATTTATAAACTACTTAAGTAATTTTTACAAATTTTATTTTCAGTGATGATCATTAGTAGACTGTTAGAGGACTGACGTAGATCGTAATACAAATGCTGTGCAATGATACATGTAGAAAAATCCAAATATTTGAAATACCAATTCACTCTTCAATGTAGTACATTTTTTAGTTGGTACTTACAACCATGGTTACAATATCCATCGATAGTCAATTTATATTTATTTGGAACTTTGTATTATGATGAAAAGGTTCAACAGAAAGCAAAATAAAATGCACAAAATAATGTGAGGCTCTAAAAGAAAGCTATGAAATTACTACTCAGTATAAATTTAAGTCAGCGTAAATCCTATAGTATTAATTGTGAGAAAAAACCACTTGAGGTTTCGATACCCAATCAATCAGTTTATATTCATCAGTCGTAAAAAAATTTGTATGATTAAGTTCAGAAGTTAGCAATAAAGTTAACTATCTTATTATCTCATTGAATAAAGTGATCACCAGAATATAAGAACTGACTGGAAACGATGTTGTGTGAAGCTAGTTTGATGTTTTCAGATATCAGACTGATTTTATTTATGAAGGATTATACTGATGTTGACAACCATCATGATTATATGGACGGAAGTTCCGAAAACACATAGTTCATGTAGAATGACCGAAATTTCATACTGTCTTAGTCTAAGATTGTTTTCGACTCTAGAAATCCTAATCAAACTAATAAAAAGTAATTAGATACGTTTGAAAATATCTTACCACTACGATTAGCTCCTATCCAAATTGTTTCTTTAAAAGCGTTTTCAGACAACAACTTCACAAATGCATCAGCTTCATTTTCATTAGATAATTTTACTAAATTTATTGAAACTTTCGAAATATTTTGTAAGTATGTTTTGCATGCTTGTGAAGCATTCAAAAATGGCAATTTCTGTGCTCCCATAATTGGTTTATAACATTTTCCCGTTTCGTTTGAATAAAACCATGTATCATCATAACAAGGAAAATCTAACGGGATAGCGTATACTTAAAGTGAAATAAGAAAAGTTAAATGACAAAAAATATTTTCAATCTTACAATAAGTTCAAAACATGTCTAACAATGATACTAAACATTTGAAATTTTTATAATATCAGTTTTTTATAATTCATTACAATAGTTCATTGGGCTAAAGTGTGTATTGTTCCGTTGTACTATTTAAACTTGGATTAGTTTTAATTTGGTTATTTATTCTCTGAAGAAGTGACTTACACTAAGCCACGAAGCGTCAAAAAATCTAATTTTTCTACTCATTAGGATATTACAAATATATTATTTATTTATAACAATCTACTCAATGCTCAATTTATTCGAAATTATTAAATCAAATCTTGGTAATGATACCTATAAATTGTGTATTGTTTGGTTTAATTGTTAGTGCGGATAGTTCAATTTTAAAGCAATTTTTTCACTGACTTCAGCTGAAAAAATAACGCTGTAAACCAGTGGCAACTGAACATAAGTTACATTGCTGTATGTTATTGAAAAAGCACAAATTAGGAGGAAACAACTACACAGTACCAAAAAAAATTAGAGACAAAACAAAGTCATAAATAGTAACATCATCAAAGTAATCAAAGATTAACTCTTGATACTCTTGGGATTATAATTTTCAGGTTTTACCTTTTTATTTGATACAATTTCTATAAATCGTTTATTATATTTCGATAGTTGCTAATTTACATTTAATAATAAATGAGGATGGAATGATTTTCAACAACAACAAAAAAATTAAAACATTATGAAACAACTTACTTGATGTAATCAAGATTAATATTCTTAACATGATACAAGAAAAAAAATATTCTGAAAATGTTTCCTTCCTCTATCACTAAGCGAAATGAATTTACATAATGATAATGCATTGACATTGATCAAAAATTACTGTTCAAGTAAATAAGTAAAAATATGAACCAATTAGATTTCAGATGTAACCATGTAATTGGTAGTTTTACAAACGTAGTATTTATTACTATTAGTTAGTATTACTCTTAATATCATGAATAGTATATTAAAAAAAAGAAACAATGAATAGGAATTTATTGTTTACGTAGTCATGACATTTAGTAATATATAACTATTGTCTTTTTTAAAACTAAAATATTACTAAGAAACGTTTTATCTTTCAAATAAAAGAAAATAGAATAAGTGCCATGTAAAAACAATTAATTTTGATAATCTCTTCTTAATACAATACTTTTAAATGAATGTTAAAAGATAAATAAAGGATTTTGAATGCATTTTATTGTTTAAGTTATTTATTGTTTTAAAGCTTATTCAATAGTAAATGTTAATTCAATGCATTCATTACACTCACCTTTTCAATATGTACGAATAAACCGTTGAAAATAATTGAAAAAGGAAACTCATAGACTAATTAGTTAATCAAACAGATTTTTGGTAAAGAATATATTTCCTAGTTTTCTAAAAAGTATGTGACTTGGATATTTCCAAAACATAGTCTCAAATGTATATTATTTATTGACTACTAATTAAATAATACTGTCCACTCTATCTTGATAACCATCTGTACTAGTTCAGTTGTAACTCAATAAAATATCGTTATTGCATGAATCTATTACATCTAGCAAAATCTTAGCTGCTTACTTTATTGAAATTTTGTTTATATGCTAGGCTGTTTGTTAAGATTATTTCAAAGCAGTGGTAAGCTAAGTAGTATTGGTTTACATTCTCAATGAAAACGTTATAATTTATTACAAAAAAGTAGTAGACCAACACACGTTTTGGAACTAATAGCTGATCAATATTAAGAACAATTACCATGTCAACTTTGGATGTATTTTTGGGTTACATGCAACTCGACGATTGAAAGTAAAACTTAAACCGACTCAAAAGCATGAGACAAATAACTCGTATTTCTGAGAGCATACAGTAATTACAAATGTGAGTTTTGATTTATTGAACATTTTTAAATTATAAAAATCCAATTCCTGGAACTTGTCTGCGGTAAGTATTGGTCCCATAAGTAAATAGTTCATCATGTTTTAGTGTGTAGGCTGGGATACTGCCCGGGTGTCCAGACCGAAGCAGGTGGTTTTCTTAAGGGGCCACACCCCGAGCCATCGACCTAAAGGTCTAACCCACAAGCCAGTGGAGCATCGTGAAGAGATGCAGTCCGATGGAAGCCGGTGACCGAAAATTGGTTCATACGCCATTTGTTCCCTCAGGATACTGGAGCCCATGTGCACCATTGATTTGTGCTTTGCACTTTCGAAGTACTTCTACAAGACTGGCAGGATTCTAATCCTGTACTCACTCTGGATGGTGAGCAGATAGAAGTAGTCGAGAAGTTCGTGTATCTAGGTAGCTGCTGGTGGTGGCGTGAGTGATGAGATCAATGCACGTATAGTGAAAGCCAGAGCGGCTTATGCCAATCTGAGACATCTTTGGCGCCTTCGTGATGTTAGTCTGGCTGTAAAAGGTCGGATTGACAACGAGTCGGTGAGAGCAGTTTTGCTCTATGCTTGTGAAACCTGGCCTCTCCAAGTTGAGGATGTTAGACGTTTCTCTGTGTTCGATCATCGCTGTCTCCGAAGGATCGCTAACATCCAGTGGCAACACCATGTTAGTAATGCAGAGGTTCGGCATCGTGTGTTCGGGCACAGAGACGATAATGCAATTTGTGTCACCATTTTGAAACACCGACTTCGGTGGCTTGGACATGTTCTACGAATGTCGTCCCAGAGAACTCCTCGTCGTGCATTATTTGCCGACTCTGGGACTGGTTGGAAAAAGCGGAGAGGTGGTCAGCATATGACATGGTGTCGTGGTATGAAAGAAAGCTGCAAAGGGCTGGCTTCTGTTGGTCCTTCACGGCTCCCTGGCTGGGGTCCGAGAGACGGTGTAACACAGTGGCTAGAGACGTTATCAGATATGGCTCAGAATAGAAGCCAATGGCGATCCTGCTGTAACCTTCTTTTACTTTCTTCATAAAAAGTGGTTGCCTCTTCCTTAACTGAAAGATTTCTTCTGATTGTACCTTTCCGTTTCCTCCATTATTGTTCTCTCTCTCTTTTTTTCTCCTTTCTCTTCAAATTATCATTGTTTTGTGTGGCGCATATAAATTTGGTGCCCCCTTGTACCAATATTTATGTGTTCAAATAAAATAAAATAAACTATTGGTCCCAAGCTAGGGTAAGGGAACTCGGTTTAGGATTCGGTTACTAGCCTCAACTAGTGTAAAATGATCCTACGAAACCTGTGGCCAGAGTAAATGGAAGAGTTATGACACTTTATGGTGAAAGATAGTACCTTACGGAAGTCACAAGTTCGAAACCCCTTCTGAAAACAAGAGGAACAGTGAACATAGGGACATAAAATGTACGAATAATGCAAGAGAACGAAAGGTTCATTCAACTGTTTGTAAGAATGTGAAGATACAACCTCTTTCTGATTGTAATAAGTGAAACTCGTTGGATACAATCTCTACAGAAAATACTAACACCAAGAGAGATGTTGTACTCTATTCATAAAGGAGAAAATTCCCCTAAACGAACGAGGAGTTGGAGTGACGTTGTCCACAGAAGTACAAAAAGCGCTTATTAGAACAGAAACTCAATACTCCAGAATCACCCATCAACCTTTAAACAAAGGAAGGAAGAACTGCGATGAATATCATCCAGTGCAACGCATCCAACAACAGTAACAACGTAAAGAGCAAAGATCAGTTTTATAAGTTTTCATTCCTCCCTAGAGAAAATTACAGAAAAAGACATGATCATACTAATGCTAAGGTCGTGACGGACAACACTGAGCACGAACGTATCATGAAGTAATATAAACTGCTGGAAACGAATAAATGATGAGAGATTAGCAAATCTATATTCAAAGCTATAAAGCAAATCTTTAATAACATAGCAGCAATACTGGCCTGAGTACCAACTAAAGTACTAAAGGCGGAAATAGAGGAAACTGAAAAAAAAATTTTGTTTACTCAAGAATGATACATCAAGCTTTATTCAAAATCAAGCCCTAATTTGGGATCCTCAAGAGAAAGAGGCAAGCTAAAACATATTGTATTTGAAATCGCTGGGAGACATTAAAATCATGAGTATCACTTGTTAACAACTGAAGCGGAACGCGCAGGTTATGAATGCTTGAAGATCTATAGTCTATGGCTTATGTCCTATGAGAGTCAACATGCTTAAGTAAGTTATCAACCGCTGTTTAATCTTGAACCGTCAAAACTAACCAGAAATGATGTTTTAAGCGAGCTGATTACTGTTTTCGAAACCTCAAGTGAAAAAAGTGCAACCTATCTTGTTGTAAGTAGTTGTTATCACAGATAAAAAAATAATTATTCATCTAAGGGAACATATGTTGTCAATCAGTTAACAACTACTAATGAATCTTCTGAAACCACACTAATTCTAGTAATTCACATGAGTGACAATTATTTAAGTGTGCTTTGATTAACAGAATAACCAAGTGGATCAGAGAATAAATAAAGTACAAGCATTGGGTTTGTATTTTTCATAAGTCATTCCAATTATTGGTTAATAGTATGGTGTGTGCCTCTGATGTCAACAGATATAAGTATTATGTATCATGAATCGAAAGTGAAATGCCTAGAGGTAGAAGGTTAAGAAGATCAAAGAAAAGAGAATGAGAATAGAGAATGATTGATTTGGAAACGAAGGAACAATGAAGTCTGAGACGATCGATTGACATTTCGCAAGTGAAATATTTACTGTGTGGTTCTGAGATTTTACTAAGATTTTCTGTAATTTTTTATTTTGGTACATTCGATTGTCTCCATTTTTGTTCTCGTTCACTACAATAATAATCGAAATTATTTTGGGATTATTAGATATTTCAAAAATCCACATTTTACAGTGTTAAAGAATTTTCTGCATAAAACTATATCGAGATTTTATTTTAACAAGAAACTGTTTCAACGTAATTAACCTAAAGATGTGTATTATCTAAACGAAACAGAAGTGTGATCATTTTTATGTTTTACTATTTGGAATACCGTTGTCAGTAAAAGAAGTTTGAGTAATCAACATCAATCGATGCTTACACGGAATATCTCATGAAAATAGGAATGATAGTTCGATTTATGTGTCTTAGCTTCTATACTTGCGACTGATGATGAAGAAATTCGAATAAATGTTTCTAGATCAGAACTATTCGGTATGGCTTACCACATACAAACAATGGGATTAGGTTAAAATATTAGATGAGAATTATGACGGTAACTATCTTCGAATACCAATACAAATTATAATCTACCAGAAAATGTCTAGAAACCGAAAATGTTTTATGATTATAATTTCTCAAAATATTCAGTTTACTAATCGAGTTTATATTTTAAAGATGAAGAAACGCTGCAAAACAGGATAGAACAGTTAGATATCTCAAGCGTTCATTTCCGTTTAGATGATGATTTCGTAGAAACTGTCACGTAGTAGTTTTCCATCTGCCAGCTAAATTACGAAAATACGCAGATTTAAACAAGGTTTTTGGTATTTGATTTATTTGCGATCCATACAGTTAGTTATTAAGTACGTCTTCCCACATGAATTACAAATCCTTAAGCGATTATTTATTATCATGCACAAATTTTCCGAAGATATGTGCCAATACATGTTTGAACTCTCGTACAGCTGGTTTAACTTTATTTACTGTACTTTCTAGAAATATAGTAATTATTCACTTCACGTTTTGGGTCTTTTATGATCACGAATTCAACGGTTACTGGAGTAGTGAGGTTGGGCCAAAAGAAGACTCATGGATAAGAGGATTGCATAGTCTACTTAAGGA